AAATTATAAAATATATATTTATAATCATAAAAAAAGTTATTATATATAAAATTAAGTTTAAGATAATAAACTTAAATCAATTTACGCCACAACAATAAAAAAAACTTAAACATTTAGGTCTAATATTAAATAGTAATATTAAAGTTAATACTAATAAAAATTAAAATTAGCTAACATTATCAGCTAAATCTTAATAAATAAATGAGAGATGGATGAATGCGTTTAATATGTTCATTTCTTTGAGTTATATATTTAATCTTGTATTTTTTTATACCACAATTTAAAAAATAATAATAAAAGGGCTTAAAAAGGCTGGCCTTTTTATTTCCGGGCTTACAAGAGCCAGCCCTTTTAAGCTCAAATTACCATTTTTCCTTCCAAAGTAGCAGTCTAACCTTAGTTATTTTTGAGCTTAAAAGGGTTGACCTGACGGGCTCGACCCTAATTGATAGCTCTACTCCCTAGAGAGAAAGTTGTGCACTTAAACTTTGAAAGTGTTGTAAAATATGATGAGGAAATGAATTCACTTCTAACATGCACTTTAAATATTTTCTAAATTCAATTACAATTTCAGGCCTCCTGAATCTTAAACTAAGATTCAAAGTGGGTGCCCTAATTATTTTAATGTGGAACATTGATAAATTATGAAGTTTTACAATGATATAGTCTCATAATTACACGAATAGGAAAACATGTTATTAAGGTCTAAGTAATGTCTGAACCAAATGTAAGGATGAAAGTATGTATATCACGTATTTTTACATGTCTATCTGATTTTAGGTTGTCATTCATTATGAGAAGGAGGTAGTTTCTCATTATGCCAGCTTTTATAATGGCCATTGATAAGAGCTAGGACCAAAGCTCATGTCAGGTTAGTTTGCAACCTTCTTGTCCTATTTTCACTTGCAACCAATTATACTTTGTTGTTTCTCGTGTTCAAAGTAAGAAATATTAAACATATTAGTTCTTAACGAGGATACTCGCTCCATAAATAAAACTTCTAATGGTATTCATAAGAATGACTTTGTTAATTTGATATAAATAATTATAAATTTTTGTTAATCTATTTCTGATTATACCCATTTATGTAGTATGCTTTTAGTATTTATTGTTTGCTATACTCTAATATGCATATTTAATAATAATAATAATAATTACACAACATCACTACATATCAGATAATACGAAAAAGGTGTCCACTATAAGTTATTCTTTTAGAAAAAATTTTCCTATAAAATTAATGCTTACTTTAAAAAAACTATTGTATATAATTCGTGCATCGCACGAGTAGTTTATTAATTATATAAATAAGAACTTTATTTATAGTGAAATTTTGTTTGCTTTTGCTTAATATGGTCTTTTGTTATTATAGTCATTAGTCAAGTTGTAGTGCCTATTTTTGTGGTAACCCAACTGGTATGTTAAATGTAACACCATGATGCAAATATTTTCTTCCAGCTCACATATAGTCTTTCAGTTTTCTCACCTATTCCTTTGAGTGAGTGTAAACTCAATGCTATGTTAAATCTTGAACCTTTGCTTTCATTGTGATATTGTAGAAATTTACTTAAAATTATCAAATGAAAAAACTGAAGCAAAATAAGTCTTGGAAGCTGGATGATTATATTGTATTTCTATCAAGGTCCTAACCTTTTCATGCTATTTCAAATATACATACATACATACATACATAATGTATGTATTGTTAGTTGAATTGATCTTAGAATGGCAGTACTGCATATAGGTTTAGAAGGAATATTATGATTTATTGTAAAAAAATAAAAACTAAATCCATCCTAGGCATCATAGGGACAAGATAGATCCATTTGTGTTATTTCTTAGGGAAATGTTAGTATGTTCGTCCCTTTTCATTTATGCTAAAAATGGCAAGTAAGTGTAATTGATTTGATTTATGATAATGATGGATTATGCACCTTACATCAATTTTTTTTACCTCCCTATGGTTTTTTTCCCTCACAACGACTGAAGTGAATTTTTAACATTCAGCATGTAAAATAGTTAATCAAAGTATTTTAGATTGCTACCTTGAAAAGCAATCTCTTTCTGATATCTAGATGAAGTTCTATCATTCTTTTTCAACTTTCCTTTTGCAACTTTATTTCTTTTACGGTCAGTTCTATTGGGTCTCTTTCCATGCAATGCGAAAATAAAGTTTCACTTGCTCCTTGATGGTTTCAGTTTTTAAGAAATGAAACTGATTGGATATGTGTTTGGAGTTTAGTAGTGTCATATATCAAATCTAATAATTTTCATTGAAAAATCATTTTTAACTCAAACTTTTTTGCAAGATACGAGTTTAGCTGATTTAGATGTATTCAAATGGGGTTATTCTCCTTCAGGCAAGATAACATACAATCTAACAGTTACAAATTTGTTTGACAGTTACAAATAAGTTTGATAAAAAAGTTTACACATGCCCTTCTCTTATTTGTTCCTTGACCACCTTGCTTAAAGTGTCTCTTTTCTCTGCATTTGCATTTGGCATTGACTGCTCATCAAGCTAGAAAAAATCCCAACTTTCCATTTCAGTTTAAAATAATATTTTCTATACCTTTAAAATAAGTTTTAAATATTTTAATATTATATTTATTAATATAAAAAATATAAAAAATTTTAATATTACATTTGTACTATTTAGAATATACTTAAATGGTTAATTTATAAAATTTATATATTTTTTAATATTAAGTTAGGTCATCCAGATTATGGGCCCGTTTGTGTTAGCTTATTTCATGAAAAAATCACTCCTTTTTTTTAAAATCTATTTTATGAGTTTTTATAATGTTTATTTAAAATTTTAAAAATAATTAAAATTTGAATTTTTTTTCATTATTTTAAGAAGCTACTAATATGGTAGATAAGAGAAAATATTTTTAAGAGGCAAAATATATAGAGATATCAAAACATTTTAAAGTAATATAATAATAACTTATTTTTATTAAACAAAAATTAAGGATTAAATCATAAAATTTTGAAATATCTAACTAATATTTTTTTATTATTATAACTAAATATAAAATAGTCTACTTTTTTATAAAATCCCTATAAAATAAATCTCTTTTTATAAAATCTCTAAAATTTTTAAAAATCACTTATTTTTTAGTTTTAAACAAATGAGTCCTATATTTGAATTGTCTAAAGTCTATTTGAATAGTCAAATTATAAAATTTTAATATTAAATTAGATTATCTAAATTAAATATATACTAGCAAATTGCTAATGAATAGATTTATTAATTTTTTATATTTTTATTTAATACATATAAAATAAAAATAAAAAATTTTAAAACTTAAATAATCCAGATCTCATTAAAAGTGACAAGTATCATGGTATTAATTCCTTGATGAACACTAATGACAACCCAAATTTGATATTAGAAATTGGGAGAATTTTAGTTAAGGATCATTATAGAGAATTAATTTTAGATGTGTCTAAAAAAATTTTAAAATTTTAGTTCAATCTAAGGGGAAAAGTCAAAAGAATTTCAATAGTAAAAAGACTAAAATACCCTTCACTTGTTATACAAAATCACTAATTATTATTATTTTTATTTCACTTATTAATTTATAAATATGATTTACAAATTACATGAGTTGACATGTTAATAATCATATAAGACTTGACATCAATTTTTCAATCATAAGTAACAACATCAGCTGTTAAATTGTGAATTTTACTTATTAATTTATTAACATCAGTTATAAATTATTGACAAGTTTTGTAATTTACTAATATTATTTGTAAATTACTAACAGATTTTATAATTTATAAATGATGTTAATAAATTAACAAGTCAAGGTAGTAAATTAATAGCTAATATTACTAATTGTTTGACAAATTGATATAATTTACAAGTGATATTGATAAATTAATAAATATAATAAAAAAATTAATAACTAATAATTCTATATAATAAGTGAAGGATATTTTTGCATTTTTTTCATCAAAATTCTTTTAATTTTCTTTCATAAATTGAAATTTTAAAATTTTTTTGGACTTACTTAAAATTAATTTTTTCAGTGATTCTTAATTAAAATTCTCCCTTAAATTTTTTATATTTTCTATATTAATAAATATAATATTCAAAATATTTAAAAATTAATTTAAAAATATTTTAGATTGAAATGGAACGCCAATTGCACATGGCCTCCACCTCCTTCCTTCTCTTTGAACGCATAGTGCTTTCTCTCATCCGTTCCTTCTCCGTTTTCTTCCCTCTAATCAAGTCACCGTAAGGTCCGTTTGGTTTTGTTAATTTTAACATTCAGGGAGTATTCTTTTACTTTTTAAAAATTAAATGTTGTTTGATTTTAATTTTTTTTAAAAAAGTTCATTTAAGAAGTTCTTTTTAAATGTTGTTAAATATATTTTTGACTAACTTAAAATAATAAAACTTTTAAAAAGTGAATTTAAAAAGTAAGATATTGTTTGACCATATTATCTCTTATTCTTTTATTTAAAAAATAGTTAATTTATTAAAAATAGAATTATCATTTCAATAATAATAATTAAGTATCAAGTTTTTAACATTATAAATTAAATAATTAATCATATTAATTTTTAGCACTAATGTATAATATAAATTATAAATTTTTAATATATTTTTTTAAAATTATAAATTAAAAAGGTACAACTAATTAGAAATCAAATTTTAATATTATAGATCAAATGTTATGTTATTTGAAATCTTTATCATATTTTTTAAATATTTTAAATATATTATATTTATATAATAAAAATTATAAATCATTATAAATTAATATCTTTTTTAATAATTATACATTTAAAAAAATATTTTACTATCACAATTTACATAATTTTTATATATAAAATTAATTTTTTTAAAAGTATATTTAAGTATAAATTTTATTATAATAATTGATTTTCATAAACTAATTTTTATTAAATGATTTTTTATTAAATCAACTTTAATAAATTGAAAACCCATCACGCTTTAGTTGCTTTTGCGGCGGCGGCGGCACCACTCAGCTTGCTCCCATTCAAAGCTCCGTTCAACGGTTACTCCGTCAAGCTCAGTCCTTTCTACGAGAACCGCATCACCGTTGCCACGGCCCAGAACTCGGCATACTCAAAAATGGTCTCGTTCATGCCCTCGATCTCTCACTGAATCCCACCATTTGAGGTATTGTCTAGTTTGTTTTGCAAACCCATTAATGTTTCCTTCAAATAGTGATGGAAATTGATTAAGTTTTCGGTAATACATTACTGTGATTCCTGAGATTGGGTAAATTTTTTGGGAGTGCTGAAAAGGGGAACGTTCAGTTATCACCGGAAATTTTCGGTTTTACAGCTCGCTTGGCAAATATACTGCTTCTTTGATTTATTTTCCTCTTTGGTTTTGCTTTCACAGTGTTCAATAGTGAGGAATCAGCTCCGTTTTTTTTTTTTTTCAAGGTTCTGAAACTATAACTCGTGGCCTCGAGTGAAAAATTTGAGGGTGAAGGAAGAGGAAGGGAGGTTCATTTATTCATCTTCAAGAACACTCTCCCATGAGCTGTTTAAAATTACTTGTTCATTTATTCATGTTGAAGGGAGGATCACTTATTGGCGTGGTTTTAGAAAGCTAGGACTAAAATTTATTAAAGGACATCAAATTAAATTTGTACAGATATAGCCTCGAAGAAGCTGCTTCAGCAGCCATGATCTATGACAATGGATTATCCTCATCTTACACAGGAATTTCATCGAGGAATTTAAATTTCCAGGTGGAGAAGGAAGAAGATGGAGGAGAGGAACAATTGAGAGGGAGGGAAGGATACCAGCATTTCATTCAAAAACTTTTAAAACACTTTTATCCTTGATCCTTTTTAATAACCCCACAAAATAACTTTAATTATTAATTTATTATTAACTCCTCTCCTATTCTTTACTGCCGCCGCTCAGAGCTCGCTCTGTCAGAAGCCTCTCCAAGTTTGTGTGCTTCTCCAAGTTCGTGCCCTCCTTTGTGCTTCTGCTCCCAGGTTCGTTTATGGTCAAGCATATTATTTTTCCAATTAAAATGGGGTTCTGGGCAAGAAATTGGACTCACCTCTGATTTTTGTTTCTCCTCGGATGTTCGAATCAATTTACTTTTTAGTTTCAGAGAAATTCATTAAGTCGGCCACTGACTGAGGTGTTCGATTAACAATCACGGACTGATTAAGGGTTCTGTTCATGCTCTTAGATGGGGAAAACAGTCAGGAGTTCTGATGGGATAAGAACAGGACACGACTCTTCCGAAGGATTGGAGAAATTAAAAATTGAAGGGAAATTTTGGCTCTCTATTGAGGATTATAGCAAATATACTGCATTTTTTGATAGGCTCTTACCCACCTGGCCACCTGTATATATAGAGGGAGTGGATGAGTAATGTGGCATGAACAAGCTCAAACCTCCATTGTTGAGATTTCTGGAGCCATCAACTTCCTCCGTCACCAAGTCTTTCAATGCCACTATCAACCGCCTTTCATCCCAAGGTGCTCACAGTGAAGTTCTTCTCACATATGCTTCTATGCTTGAGAACTATGTCCCTTCAGATGCGTACACCTTCCCTAGTCTGCTTAAAGCTTGCACCTTTCTAAACCTTTCCTCCCTTGGGTGTTCCTTCCATCAATGCATTGTCGTTCATGGTTTGTCTTCCGATGCCTACATTGCTTCATCTTTGATTAATTTCTATGTGAAATTTGGATCCGCAGATACTGCTCGCAAAGTTTTCGACTTTATGCCCGAGAGAAATGTTGTTCCTTGGACCACTGTCATTGGATGCTATTCTCGGGAGGGTAATCTTGAAATGGCTTATTCTTTGTTTAACGACATGCGTCAACAAGGAATTCAACCCAGTTCGGTTACTCTGTTGAGCATTCTGTCTGGAGTTTCAGTCCTTGCCCATTTGAGGTGTTGGCATGGTTGTGCAATTTTGTTTGGATTTATGTCTGATATAACTCTGTCAAATTCTTTTCTAAATGTGTATGCAAGATGTGGAAGCATTGAAGACTCTAGGAAAATATTTGAGTATATGGGTCAAAAGGACCTTGTTTCATGGAATTCCTTGATATCAATTTATGCTCAGATAGGAAATCTAAGTGAAGTATTGCAACTTTTGGAGACAATGTGGGCAGCAGGTATGAAGCCTGACCAACAGACTTTTGGGTCCCTGTTGTCTGTGGCTGCATCAACGGGTGAGTTAAAACTGGGAAGGTCAGCGCATTGCCAGATTTTAAGAGCTGGATTTGACTTTGATGCACATGTAGAAACAGCCTTGATCGTTTTGTACTTAAAAGCCAGGAACATTGATATTGCATTTCGAATTTTTGAAAGGAGCTCTGATAAGGATGTAGTTTTGTGGACAGCGATGATCTCAGGCCTTGTGCAGAGTCAGTATGCAGATAAGGCACTGGCTATCTTCCGCCAAATGATAAAATTCGGGGTCAAGCCATCCACTGCTACTATAGTTAGTATAATTACAGCTTGTATACAACTGGGATCTTTTGATTTGGGAATCTCGATTCATGGTTATGTAGTAAGGCGAGAATTGACTTTAGATGTCACTGCTCAGAACTCTCTTGTGACCATGTATGCCAAGTGTGGTAAATTGAATCAGAGTTTTATTATGTTTGATAAAATGAGCAAAAGGGATTTGGTTTCCTGGAATGCTATTATTGCTGGATACACTCAAAACGGCTATATATGCAAGGCCTTGTTTCTTTTCAGTGAAATGAGGTCTTGTTGTCAAACACCGGATTCAATAACTATCGTCTCCCTTCTTCAAGGATGTGCTTCGATAGGAGCACTTCATTTTGGTAAATGGATCCATAGCTTTATTTTGAAAAATAGCTCAAGGCCATGTATTTTGGTTGACACAGCTTTGGTGGACATGTACTCCAAATGTGGGCACTTGGATGCTGCACGAAGTTGTTTCAACGAGATGCCGAGTCAGGATTTAGTCTCATGGGGTGCCCTAATTGCAGGATATGGTTATCATGGCAAAGGAGAGACAGCATTGAGGTTATACTCAGAATTCTTGGGAAGTGGCATGAAACCAAACGATGTCATTTTCCTTTCAATTTTATCATCTTGTAGCCATAATGGACTCATTGACCAGGGTTTGAACATATACCAATCAATGACTGGAGACTTTGGGATTGCACCTAATCTTGAACACCATGCTTGTGCGGTTGATCTCCTCAGTCGAGCCGGGCGAGTGGAAGAGGCATATTACTTGTACAAGAAGACATTCCCAGAGCCAATGCTCGATGTTTTAGGTATACTCCTCGATGCTTGTCGGGTAACCAGAAACAACAAACTTGGTGAGAAGATTGCCAAAGATGTTCTCATATTAAGGCCAATAAATGCAGGAAACTATGTGCAACTGGCACATTGCTATGCTTCAATAAACAACTGGGAAGGTGTAGGAGAGGCATGGACCCATATGAGATCTCTTGGCTTGAGAAAAATTCCTGGCTGGAGTTTCGTTGACATACATGGGACCATCACAACATTTTTCACCATGCACAACTCTCACCCACAGTTTCAAGAAATTCTCTCCACACTGCATATTTTGAGAAAGGAATCAGGGAACAAGGAAGAGATGGGTATTGACCTTGATATCAGCCAATTGTCATGAGTTTATTGCAGTCTATATTATACAGCAGGGTTGGCTAATTCAACTTTGTACTAGCTTGCTTCTTTCCATGGCAAGCAACGAGCATTTCTCAGCATTTTTTAGATGCTGAAGTTAAGGTTGGATGAGGGATCGTTGACTAGGGATCGTTGACTAGAAGGGTGTCGTGTTCTTGAATTGTTATGTACAGAAAATTCTGGTGTTGCACGCATACTCAGTCATTTGGTAGGGTATGTATGCAAAAAGGTAGGAATTTGCACAAACACAGCCAATTCATTAATGTTATGAAAATAATTCACGTATATGATTGAGTTGTACTAATAAATTAGTGCCATGTATTTTATATTAAAGTTTCAATCTATGCTTGTCTCATTTATAATAATAATAAAAAAAAAGTATAAGATAGATCATTTTAGTGATTAATCCATGACAAGGATCAAATTATTTCTTTGGCCAAGTAAACAAGTGGTTAAGATCAAACTACTTATATATGGTCCCAAAGATCTTACTCCTCCCTCGCTCTTAAACATGAATGCAGAAAATGTTATTCTTATTTTTTTTTTTTCAATCAAAACTGAAATGCATTCATAAAGATGAAAAAAAAAAACAAACAAACAAATAATAACTAAGGAGAGCATTAAAATTCTGGACTTATTTAGTGAACAATAATCCAATGATTCAGTTCTGAATTTTAATTTCTGGGTTTTAATTTCTGTTCACTTGAATCAAACCACTTTTGATTGCATAACTAACCTAGATCCAGTACGTTGCACGGGTTTGAGATCAGATGATTTTGTTATATAATATAGGTTGCATCTTCTATTAAATAACGTTTGAACAAATTATATTGAAATTGTCTCAATTTAAAATAAAAAAAATACGATGAGTCAATGAAACACAATCAATTAAATTGTATAAATTTGGATAATTATTTGTTTACACCCTTTTTCCTTTTTCAAAATAATCCCCATCGCAATAGGAAGCTAATTATTCAGTGTGGTAATTATTTGTTTACACAACATCAATCATCCTTTATAGTTTATGCTAGTTCCAGTTGGAAATGTTTCAGACCTAATTTTAACGATAACAGTGCAATGTAAATAGTAACAAAGTTTACTCATAGAATGATTGATAACAAACACATCATTGGGAACCAAATAATATTAAGATGCCACAGGGATAGTACAGGCCTGTAGTAGCTTGTAGTTTAACATAAAAGGAGCCTTAAGAAATGGATTGAGTCGCATATTACTCCAAAGTCCAAACTAATCTTTTGATTTTCCATTTCCACAGAACAAAAGGACAAATGTAAAGATCAAACTTGAAAACCTTGGCGATGAAGAAAAACCAGAAAACTACTTAAAGAACTATCTTCGGCCTTCAAATCTTGTAGATAGATGGAGCAAGACTTGGATCACTTCTAAGGTTAATTATGATATTACCATTCCCAAAATTTGGGCCCTGAGGTGCAAAAACCACAATAATGTCAATGAGATTCAAAACAGAAAAGAAAGATAGTTATGGATTTGAATTCATTTTGGTATAATCGATGGGAGCAAGTTTTTTGAGAATTAAAGATTTATTACCTGTACCCACAACTAATGACCCAGTAGTTGAATCATAAAATTTTTTTCTTAATTTGGAACTTCAAAAATGGGTAGCTTTCAATTTAATTCTCATCCATAACCCCTCAAAAAAATATATAATCTCACAAATAAATTATTATCAATGATTTCAGAAGGACATAGGATTTCTTGCTTGAGTTAGAAACATGAGAAAGAAACAACGCACCAACATTCATGGAGCTAAGAGTTCAAAGAGGTAATCCATAATATACAACACCTTAGTACACATTGGACTAAGATTTTAATCTCTTGTAATTTGCAAAAGTGCATATCAAGTTAGTTACTAAGATTCTTTTGGTTTTTTCTTTAAATTCATTGGACTAAGAGTCATCGTCTTTGATGAAAGGTGTGGGGGGCTTATTCAGCAATAGCAATATCCTAGATCAAACAAAAAAAAAAATTGAGGGTCAGTAACTACTATAATAAGAAGATTATCCAAACTATAGATAATTCTATAGAAATTTAGAAACTTGTAAATTGTTGGAGAGTATAAAGGGCTATAGAGTCGGGAATAAGGGCCGGGCTTGACAGGCCGCCCGTTTAAGCCCGTTTTAATAAGAGTTCAGGCTTAAAAATTTAGCATTTTTTAGGATAATCGGGCTTCGACGCCCGGCACTTTTAAGCCCTAGAAAAATGGGCTCGGGCCCGGGTGACCCGTGAAGCCTGTTTTACTATTCACAAAGTATTGTTTTCACCTCTTTCCAGATAATATGCAAACATTGATTTGTATTTTGTACCAGCAATTGGTTGAATTATTTTTTACCATTTTATAGTAATTTTTATATTTTATCTTGTGATATATGTATAGATATATATTTGATAATAAAACAATTTAATTAATAATTATTGTAGGTGATGATGAAGAAACTGCAGAGATAATTAATATTGAGTCTCCGCCTCCATCTTTTACAAGTGGACCTACATCTGAGGGTTTTAATATTTTATTTATGGATGATAATGAGGGAGATCTTGATTAGGATTGATGATGATGTTTGCCTTTATCTTATTTGGACGTTTAAATTTTTTGTTCATTTTTTAGATTATGTGAGACTTTGGTTTGATATATGTTAAATTTTAAAATATTCTAAATAAATTTTAATGTTAAATTTTATTTTATTTTATTTTATTTTTATCCGGGCTTACGGGCCCGGCCCTGAGTCTTATGAATAAGGGCCGGGTTTTAATTTTAGGATAAAATTGGGGTAACCAGCTTTAGGGCCGAGCCCATATAGGTTAGGCCCGCCCGTTTACCAACTCTAAAGGGCTACGCGTTGCTTAAGATTAAAATAATTGAAGCCGATTTAAAAACAGCCACAAAGACATCGAAAATGGGATTTCATTCTGCTAGGATCTTAAAAGAGAGAAGACATGATAAAAGGCATCAAAATACTTCAATTATATCTTCACTGGGTTCCATTAATTATACCTTCAAAACCTATATATCACCACTCCTATACCTGGATACAGCCAAAAGAGAATGCAAGTGAAAAAATGAAGATGCTACTTCATTCAGAACATCCCCTTTTATCTATTGCAATCTCAAAAAGTGGTTTGCTACTTCATTCAGGAGATGCTGCTAGATTACAAGAATCTGATTTTTGGATATGTCCCTGAATCTGATTCAAATGTATGTCTTGTGCGTGTATGTTAGTGAGACCTTACTCATCCAAGATATTTAATACATTGGGGTTGAAGAGTGGACCTTGGACACTTGTCAACATTGACTTCTTTACCTTCTCCAACATCCAACCTAAATGCAATAAACTCAGTAAGTTAGTCATCCAAATCCTTGGTTTTTAAGCCACCAATCAAGAATAAAGCAGTCCAGAGATAATAAAAATATTATACTAATATCAATTCTAAAGTAAACTCATTCCAATTGATAATTTTTCATTCGGTACTTTCATCAACGGTGTGGCGTGCATATAATTTTGTTATTCAGATTCGCAAGAAATTCATGAAAGGAGTTGGGAAATTTGAGACAATGTCCAACAGCATGTATCAGCAAGAAAATGTTATTCACAATAACTAAGTGAACTTTTTCAGCAATCACTCAAGAAAAAACCAATGTAAAGCCAGGGAAAAAATTATACTAGTATCAATTTCAATTAATAATTTTCCATGCAGGACTTTCATCAAATGCCTAGCATACATATTCTAGTTCTTTCTTCTACGATGTACCAAGTCAGCAAATACCATGCTTTCATTCTTGAAGATGTTTGATGGCAGTAAAATGTTTCAAGAAATAAATTTAGTCCCTAAGTTTCATTCTTGAAACTTAGTCCCTACGTTTCAAGAAATAAATTTGGTTCTTATAAATGTATTTTCTAAAATATAATAATTAATATTTTGAATGGTTAAAACTATTAATATTGCATTATACTGAGTCAAAATTTAAGATTGATTTTCAAGTAAGTCAAAATTATAGAGATTACTTCCTCCCTCCCTATATATAAAGTGTTTTTAACTGAATTCTGCATATCAATAAAGGTTTGTTATTTAGTTGAACTAACATAAAAATACAATAATTTTTTAATTTTACCCCTAATAATATCATAATTAATATTATGATGGTGGTAGGAAAAATAAACATTAATGATCTATTCCATTTTTTAAGACAAGAGTAAAATTGTCTAATTATTCAAAAATATTATTGCCACCCCTTATATTTAGGGATGAAATGAGTTTTTAGAAAACACCTTATATATAGAGACGGAGGGAGTAAGTTGCATCAAATTAAAATTTAGGGAATAAATTATAATTGAGTTACTTCCCATGACAAATTGATAACTAATAAAATTAAAGGGCGATTGATAGATAAATTCTTCTGAAAAAGAAAAATAATAATTTGATCCTGTGAAATGTGATAATGCTAATGAGGCTCGAGAGACTTTTTTAAGATTAAATTCCTATGTGAAATTATTTTAGTATCCCTATGCAACTAATTTTATATGGTTTACAAATTTAATATAAGTATTTGCAAGTTTGATCCCACCCAGGACTAAAATAATTTAGGAAATCACAACTTTTTATTAGCAATTTTCTCTAAATAGTAAAGTCTAACTAATTTTATATAGTTCATAAGTTTGGTATAAGTATTCACAAATTTCATTCCACTAATGACAAATAATTTAGAAAATCAAACTTTTTATCAGTAGAGTCCAACTAATTTTATATCATTTACAAGTTTTGCATAAGTATTCACAAGTTTTATTCCACCAATGATTAAAATAATTTAAAAAATCACAACTTTTTAAATTATAAAGGGATATTAAAGTACTTTCACATATAAATTTAATCTTAAAGAAATTCCTTGAAACCTCATTGCTATTATCATATTTTGCAAAATTAAATTGTCATTTTTGTATTTTAAAGGAATTTATCTGCTATCTTCCCTAAATTTAAAAAGAACACCTTTTAGAAGATGCACTCACTATTATATTTTAGATATGCTAGCTTAGACCAAATCAATCGCAATTTTCTTTGGGGACATACCAGCGAACAAAGAAAACCGCACCCGATGGCCTGGAAGGATGTATGTAAACACAAGAAACAGGGAGGTTTGGGATTACGTCATGCAAGAGCGCATAATCATGCACTGCTAATGAAGATAGAATGGAATCTTGTAAACCAAAAGGATACGTTCTGGGTGCAGGTCATGAGGGCAAAATATAAATGCGGTCAAGGTTTAATCCCTCAAATAGATTCCAAGCGTAGAGGGTCAAATATATGGGCAAGTATCAAGGCTATTTGGAAGGGTGTTGAAGCGGGATTGGAAACTACAAATGGTGGTACCCAAGCTCGTTGGATGTATGATAAGAATGGTTCATTTTTCTGTCAAGTTTGCATACACGAGCCTTCTTCATACTGACCAAAATAATGATCAAAATTGGGAGAGGATATGGAAGCTTCGAGTACCATAGAGATGTAAGTCGTTTATTTGGCTTGCTACTCATGACAAGCTTCTTAGAAATGTGGAAAGAAAGAAGAGAGGCATGATTGATGAGGAGATGTGTCGGGGCTGCAACTTAGAGAGAGAAGGGGTTCTTCATGTCCTACGAAACTGTCCGAGTGCCGCCGCTCTATGGAGAAGCATTATATATCATGAGCAAGCTTCAACCTTCTTCAACCAACCTCAGGCCGAGTGGCTGAATCATAACATGAAGAGAGGGCGAAATAAATTCTATGACGATTGGCCTTTGATTTTTACAATTCTTTGATGGCTTATTTGGAAGCGACGAAATTCCTGAGTGTTTGAAGGGAAGCTTCCGTTCAATGAGGCGCTCTTAACTGAAGCTAATGCCATTTTTAAAACTCTAGGGGTAACCCGATGGAAACTCAAAGGGGTTAATTTGAAGGGAGCTGCACTCTATAGTGCCCGTCAAATCTGGAAGCCACCTGACCCTGACTGGATCACTATTAATGTTGATGGAGCATACTCTCAAAACAGGGGGAAACGTGGCTGCGAAGGACTCATTAGAGATTGCGCTGGAACATTTATAGTTGGTTTTAGTCATAGCATGAATCATGGGGACAGTCTCATAGCAGAACTTTGGGGTATTTTCCTTGGCATCAGATCAGCGTGGGATGCTGGGTATTGTAAAGTATTTGTAGAATCGGATTCGATGGAAGCTATAAATTTGAGTATGAGGAGAGAGATTGAGTTGCATGCAGAAGTGGACGTACTGAAGATGATACATGATCTCATGCTTGCCCAAAGAGCTCTTTCTCTTGGGGGGGGGGGGGGGGGCCACTGTATTGTATTCTTAATAAGGATATAGAAGGTGCCCAAAACCTCTAGTTGAGGTTCAGTTTTATTAAAAAAAAAAAAGAGTTAGTAGTTCTCAGTTTTAATGATCTAATTGGTTAGACTAGTGATTAAACCAGTAATATAATAATTAAATAAAAATATTATTAAATATATATATAAAATAAATATAAAAAAAATCAATAATATGTTAATAAAATGACATAACATAATCGTAAATTAATAACATTATAAATTATAATTTTACAACTTATCAAATATAAGTAGATCTTAGTTAAATTAGATATGAGTAAATTTAAAAGTATCTACATTTACATCTATAATTGTCAATATCTTTATAAAAAAATAGTCTCAAATCATATTATATACATGTAAATTATTTAAAAATAAAATTAGCTTTTAATAGGATCTCATTTTTTTATTTTTTAAATATTATATTTAAAACCATCTGATTTTTTAAAAATTAATTTGATTTCTGGTTCAACTTTAATTTTCGACTTAATAGTGATTCAACTTTGTCCAATTCACCTCAATCGGAAAAATAATTTTTACTCCAAACCAAATCATTAACGGCTTCCATTAACAGTCTAATAATCAGGTTTGATCCGTTTTTTAAGTCTTTGCTTTATATATATTAAAGGAGCTAAACGGGAAAAGAAGTCATCTCGCACTTCAAACGATGACGTTTCATGTCCCCGGTGGCCTAGTCTGATGATCAAAATGGCAGGTGCCACCAGATACATTGAACCACACGCAGACATGCAGGGACAATTTGAGGCTTTGAGCAATGCATCGAGACGAAACGCATTGTAAGTGAAGAATCAAGATTGAAGATCTTTTTTTTTTTTATTTTTTTGGCCTGCGAGAGTGAGAGATGAACACGAGGCAGCAAAGAGTGTTGAAATTGGTAATGTGGATTCTGGCACTCTGCCTCATTGTTCACGTAGCGGGACGACCCTTGTATTGGCATCTCAGCGAGAACTTCAACGCCACTGTTCGCCACGCCGCCTCTTCGTCTTGTCCGCCTTGTCCCTGTGATTGTTCTTTTCAACCCCTTCTTTCTCTCCCTGAAGGTATCTTCTCCATTTTTCTCGACCTGCTTTGAATTCCGCAATATTTATTGAGTTAGTTGAGATCTTCATATTCCACACCTATACATAATTCATTTTCTTGATCTTTCGGTTTTTGGCCTTTCCATTTTAGTCCTGTATTCAGTTACACTCGATTTTCAATCAAGCTCTCACATTAAACTTTTCGTGAAACTTCAGCTGCAATAGTGATACCACCTAAGCTAGAGCTCTCAAAGCTATCAGATAATACTCAGTTGCCGAAAGTACCAAAATGTCTCGATCTTTTTGGAAACGCCCATTTTGGTGCCTTTATTTTTCTACCTTCACCTTTGTCCCAGCATTTTAATGAATGAGCATTTAGTAGATCATGTTACTGTTTCTGTTAATCTTGTTAGTGGACTTCAGGATTTTGTTGAAGATGAAATATATTTTGCAAGACTAATAAAATTGAGACATTAGTAATTTATTTGAGAAAAATGTTAAAATACCAATTCCTAGTTATTTATTTGAACTACTGATCCAAACCAATAGTTCTGTTCTCTTGAGACATCTACTCTGGTTACTTTTGCTTGTAAGTTGTAACAACATGGTCATGGAAAAATCCCTGTTCTTGGGAATAACCTTAAAAAACGGAAACGCCTGCACCTCAAATTGATGATCTTTTAGTTAAGGATCAATAGTAGACTCTGTATAAATTGAGTGCAAGTGGTATATTTAGTAGTCAAATAACATATTTGTCCACACCCAACACCTACACTATAGCGACACTGAATTGACTTCTGAAATGTGGAATTGGAAGATGTCATAAGACATGGACCATTCACTGTATTCTGTGAAATATTATTAGAAGTGTGATTAATCTCCAGAAATAAGTGCAATCAATTTGTCAATTTCACAACTCCCTGACCACAAAGGAGATTTGAACTCAGTGCTGTGATTGTAGATATTGATTCTTGCACTCATGCATTCATTGCCAATTGCTTCCTTATTCCTTTGTTATATTTTAACTTGATCTTTTGGTTTTGTATTTGAAGTGCGAGCTTCTTCTTGATCATTTGGTTATGTATATGAAGTGCAAGCTTAACGTGGTGTCTATGTCTGTTTTCAATTGCAGGTTTGAGCAACAGTTCCATTACAGGTTAGTTTTTCTTCCTTGTATTTCTTGTGGAGTAAGCTTCAGGCATGAGCCCATAGTGACACGAAGAGATAATAAAAAAATTCTCTGAAGTTACCTTCTACTGTGGAGTTCTGATTTGACACAAGTTGAAGCATCCTAAGATGATTAATCATTGTCAAGCTAACGGGTGTGGTTATGGCAAAGTTGTACATTTGTACTATATCATAGAAGAGTTTCCGATTGTTAATTATTTGTTACGTTTAGCAATTGGCACTCGTAATATTTGATTTAGTTGAAGTACTCCTAAACACGTGATTCCTGTAAACTTGAATTCTCTGTCGTGTCACTCTTATTAGTTAACACCAACTTAACAAACTCAGGTGGGACTGACATAATAGTTCACAACTACAGTATTTTCATGGGGTAAAATTACTGTGGTATTTAACTTGGAAAGATTTGCATAGAATTAATTTCTTTAGTGTGGATTCAAATGGAATAATGTTTTTAAAACAACCAAATTCCCATTACGGACATGGTAGCAGTGTTGAGCGTCAAAGATGATGTATTTTATAATCATGTGGATCTGTTTTGAAATAAGCCGATGTTTGAGATATATGTATTCTAGATTGCATGAAGGAAAACCCATTGATCAGTGAAGACATGGAGAAGAGTTTCATAGACCTTGTGTCAGAAGAAGTGAAGTTGAAGGAAGCAGAAGCTCGTGAAAACCATCGGCGTGCTGACGTGGCACTCTTAGAGGCTAAGAAATTAGCATCACAATATCAAAAGGAGGCAGACAAGTGCAATTCAGGGATGGATACATGTGAGGAAGCTAGGGAAAAAGCTGAAGCAACACTCGATGATCAAATGAAGATAACTGCTCTGTGGGAGCTCAGGGCAAGGCAAAGGGGATGGGCCGAGTCCAGGGTGAGGTTTCGTCATGCTTATGTCTGAACATAAAGTGCCCATTCTTATGTGTAAAATCAACATTATCTGACATGCATGTCAGTCGCTCATTCATTCTTTTATTCATTGATTCATTCGTTAGTTTCTTGACACCATTTGCTGGAAATATAAATGCTGAAGAAAATAATTGCTTTTGGTTTCGCTTCTGTTTAAATGATCTCTTCTGCATACTGTTGTCTATTCCCAATCTGTTGATTCTTTTGTCTTCCCCAATTCTCAAACCATCCATTCGAACCATGAATTACTGAATTTTGATGAAGACACTTGCAATGTTTTGTGACTACTGTGTTATAAATCCCACATTGAATAATATAAATGTTTTATGAGGCACTTTCTTCAATTTAAAATATAAGCAGTTTTTGAAAAAGAAAAGTATATCAATAAAATTTTCATTCTCATAAATATATATATATATATATATATATATTTTACCCTTAATCCTAATTACCAATGCACTTTATGATGAGTGAGAGATAACTTTACATAAGGATCAAGGTTAATAAATACAAGAAATAGAATAGGATTTTTTTTTTTTACATGTATTAGATTGTTTATATTTTGAACTAATATTAACTGAAGGAAGATATTTATATTTTGATCAAAAGGAGTATTTAATTGGTTAGTTTTCTCATCTCAATAATTAGCTTTGGACTTTGGGGGAAGAGTCACCTGTCCCACTTGATCCATCAATTGGTATTAAAGTGAGTAGTTGCTGTTTCAAAACAAGCTATTTGCAAAGCGTTCTAATTAATGGAAGGTTTTGATTAGCGAGGAAGCCGATGTAGTGTCATAGAGTGTGGCTGTTGAGACGTCAATTCATTTATTTGATTCATTGTAAAACCAATCAATACATTATATGTATCTGAATAGTCGTGCTGATTTCATAATTAGGGTAGTCTAACTATTTCGTTAGGAAAAATTCCTAGTGTAGTGCCAAGACTCTACTATATTGCCTCATAAATTTTAGCATGTGAATTCTTAAACCACGTTATTTTATGATCTGACAGATAACAAATATAAACCTAACACCCTGCCAAAAATGCTGTTACATATTAGCGTGTGAATTGTAAATGTCGTCTTTGTTGTACGGTGGAGCCAAAATTCTATGAGAAAGCCACTTACCCGTTTCTGTTTGTTGCAGCAGGGATCCAAAACATATGGTTATGAAGCTTTGTATTTTGAAGCTTAATGAGAGGGTAAATTAATGCAGATTGTCTCAAGTCTGTGCCAAAATGGCTATCATATTAAGAAGATCATGTCTGCCCATTTTATCAAAGACTCTTTTCTTGCCATGCCAATGCATTGGGACGCCTTTTCGCTGAAAAAACTTGAATATAATAGAAAGTAAAAAAATTTAACCAATAACAATTGGTCTAGGTGGTTCGACACCTCTTCTCCTGAAGCAAGGTTTTGATTTAAATCCCATGAGTGGATAAAAAACACTGCTTGGAATGCTTTACACCTACGTTATATATTTAAGTTACTGCTAGGACAATAGATTACGTGGGGACCACTGTGACTTTTGAAAATTAATTGGTATGTTATGAAAAAAATAAATGAACTGTCAAGCACTTGATTGAATTGGCAAGAAGTTAAACCAATTTAACTAGAGATCTTAAGTTCAAGTTTTGAAAATGTAATAGTATTGGTACTTGGTGGTAGAGCCTTACTACTTTTTGTGGTCTTGCCTGGCTCAATTTGGATTAGTCTGGATTCTCAATAAATCCTTTGAGGTAGGTCTAGGATATTGGGTACTTTATGGGGGGCAAAAAAGAGTGGACATTTTGGTCTATTAAGAGTCATGGATAGAAAATCAAAAGAATGATCAATATCTATCATACCAAAATTAAAATAATTTAAACAGCCATTTCCCTTGCACTTTACAGTCCTTTCCATCTTTGTTATTCAGGTTAAATCTTCATAATCCATGCCTCAAAAAAAACTAAACTCATGCAAGACGCCACTCAACAACTACTACACACTAATACAGCAGAATAAAATTAAGAGAATTATCCACGCTTCTTTGATCTTTAGTGGAAATAAGATCAAGGTAAAATCCTATATACAATCATTTTGTGTAATTTAAAATATTCAAATGTTACATCATGTAATTCCTCTGTGATGGTGATAGATAATAAGAAAAAGCGTTCCTTGAAAAAGCAGCTACACTGCTACTGAACACAATCTGATATATTAACACAAAAATGGGGAAAAACTTTGATCTTCCAAAGGTGATGACGCGATCAACTTAATGCTCCATAAATATTTGTATCATTCAGTACTGAAAGAGTATGAATTTTTTCTGTTTCCACAAACTCTTTTCTCCTCCAAAGATGGAGTTAGCATAAGTTACTACCCAAGAAGAGTAAAACAAAACGAAATCATACTCTGATACTAACTGATACTGACATATTTAGAATATCGAATTAATAAAAATCCGAATTCTGCTTTATATATTGCCGCAAGCACCTGTACATTTTTTAGTTCATTATATCTGTAAAACCATCTTTGTCTGCTGAATGATGATGATGATGATGATGTTAGTACTAAGTATGCCAAGAGATGACCATCCTTTATCTTCCCCACTAATTTCAAGGCGATGGAAGATCTTGAACACCATCAGAACCAGTTTTGCTTGGCAAGGGAGTATTCCGTCGGGATTGGCGTTTTGTGGGCACAGGAACACAGTCAGTTTCCCACTTTTCAGCACTTTTTTCTTCATCGTCATCATCTTCCATGCTGGCCTTAAAAACTGGATGTAAATAGGCATGATTAAGGTAGCCTTCCAAATTCATGTTTGGCTCTGTTGCTTTCTCTAATGTGTCTTTCATTGTTGCTTCCTGTATCATTATTTTAAAATCAAGCATTAAAAGAACAGACATATTTATGTCAGACTTTTGTATAATACACTTTTTAAGATTATAATTGAGGACATATAAGATATGTAACAAATGATGAATTGACAGACCTGCAAGGGATATTTGACAAAGGCAGATTCAAAGCGGCCTTTGCAGTAATAATGGAAGGAGAGAGTCAGTATTGGGAGAGCAATGAGAAATGGAGTTGATGTAGCAGCTTTCTTTGTGCTTAGTAGTCCCATCAGAACTATTTGTGAGATTATCAGTGCAATTATGACACGTAAATGGACATATGGCCAGAATGCTGCACCGCTCTCATATTCCTGATTATAAACGTTAATAATCTGCAGCAACAATGTAGGTTCAATCTCCAGGTTATACATACCCCGCGCGCGCGCGCGCGCGCACAGAGATATGCTTTAAGGAATGATGTAAATGTTAGGATTGTGCACGATAAGTGCCAAATACAGAAGCAACTATGTTCTGTTGCAGTAGTGAAAAGCTACAAAAAGTTCAGTTTTTGACCACAGCCCAAGAATTTAAAGGTAGAGTTATAGGTTATTATTAAAGGTACAAGTAAATCAAACTCTTAACAGCACGTGATTATTTTGGTTAAAATAAAGAAAATATAAAAATATGATAAAAATAAGATAATGATCATTCAAACTAAATCATAATACTCAGGAGCTCAATTAATGTAAAGTTAATTATAAATAATTTTGACCAGTTTTTACCTGATGACGGAACACAACATAGGCCAGTGCAAAGAAAACGATGATGAAGGGAAGTACAACAGGTGTAACGGCAGCATACACCAGACCAAGCAGAAAGTAGAGTTGAATACGAGGTTCCCGGGCGTGGAAGCCAATGCTGCCAGGATCCATGGCCTCTTCTCTGTCCTTCTCAGTCTTCACCAGAAAGAAGTTCTTCAAGTGAAAAAATATCAGAGGTTTCAACATCAGAATCTCTGCAGCTATACCGGCCCATCCATCAACCATTATGAAGGAAATGAAGAAAGTTGCTTTTATTGGAATTGCATCTCCAATTGTCTCAGGGTATCTGTCAACAGACATAACAAATTTAATTTAATTTAATTTTACTAATGTTTTCTAGGTTTTAGGGAAAAAAAATACATTCTCCGCATAAAATATAGAGAAAACACACTTGGTAATTGATAGAGCTTGCTAAGACCTATAGGAGCAGATTTCAAAGAAAGTGATAGAAGAGGGCAAAACAAAAACTACTGGGTCAAAAGATTACACCATGGGTCCTGGTCAAAAGGGAAAAGAAGTGACATAGGAGAAGGGAGTAAGGGCAGCTAAGGGTAGGGGCAGTGATTTGGTAACTTTTTGGGTTTTAAGTTCTCCAATTCAGCCGAGAGAGGGGGTAGAATCATTTTGGAAAGTGAAGTGAGTTTGGGAGAGTACTAGCTCTCGAAAGTCTAGTGTATTGGGGTGGAGGAAGATCTTCCTGCTTCATCATTTTCTCTTTATGTTTTGGTGCGTGTTAGTAAGTGGCTTATGTTCTAAATTATTGTTCTGTGGAGTGTATTTTGTACTGATGCTTGTACTCTATAACTTTATTATTTTGGGTTTAGGAGGGAGATGTGGTTAGCTTGAATCCTTATCTTCTTTGTAATCTTTCTTCTTTATTATCCAGTAATAGTATTTTCAGTCATTTTTACTGTATTTGCTCGGTCTTTTGCTTGTTTTAAGCTTATTAGTATAGAGGGTTTTATCAGTAATCTAATATACTGATACAAATTTCTAGACTTATTGCACAGCAAATATGAATCTGATATAGAATTCGATTATGATTCAAATCAAAATGTGAGCAAATTAGAGAATACTGAATGAAATCTAGAATGACTTACGTATTGGCTGGTTGGTGCATAAAAGCATTCAATTGCTGAAATGCTGCTCCCGTAAGCAAGCTCCCAAAAAATACGTTAACAATGTTGAAAATGTAATATCTAGAAGCTGCTCTTCTCTCAAGAGATGATAGAGACACAAACCCTTCAAGCTTTGACATTATCAGCAAAATTGTTGGCACAAAGAGCAGAAAAAGCTTCAATATAATACCAGGCAAGAAGCCTTGGACGAATGACTTGATGAAGGGGCTGCACAACAAAGTAAAGTTAGGTAAATAAATAATAACTAGATTAAACTGGTTGATTTGATAAAAAAAGAATTGGTGAATCAGTCTTAGTCTCGTTTAATTAACCCAAAAATTAGTTTAGTCTGTCAAAACTGGTTTGTAAGATCATATTGAGCAAAAGTAAGTCTTCTTTTAAACAAGACCAAATGAGTTAAGGAGTCACTAATTAGACTAGTCTGACCCGAAATTTAGATTCAATGAAGTGAGAGTTTAAGTTTTCAGTAAAGCAAGAGTAACAGTAATTTCAGTTATAGATAAATTTTGCATCGCATGTATGAGGAAAGGTAAATGCAGAGTACTAGTAGTTAGTGTTAAACTGCAGGAACTTTAGAAACTTCAATTTCAAAAGATCTAAGATTGTGCAACCTCTGATTATGGCCTAGCCAGGCTTGAGCCTCAAAGATGAAAATAGACTGCACTAGGGTCAAGCTTGAGCTAACAAAAGAAAAGAGACTTACATTTCTACAAGTGGTAGCAGCCATCGTGCTGACTTTTGGATGCCTTCAATACTTGCAATAGATTGAACAATTGCAATGGGGATCATAAAGAAGAAAGTCAGAAAGAAGAATGCAACACCTATGATGAGCCTCCTGACTGTGAGGGAAACATAGGGGATTGCCAAGTTTGGCCAATATACATCTCGTGGCTCTGGGGCCCACTCGGTGAGCCACATTGTTGGGTTTCTGGTTTGTTGTGTTTGTGCACAAACAGCAGCACCCCATCTAGTTTTGAAAGAAACAAATGAAGCTGACATGATGGATTTGGGATCATTTTTAACTTTGTCCCTCTCCATTGCTATCTGCAACAAGAAATCCATTTCAATCACTCTGACCAGTATCAGAAAAACAAGTTGTATTGTTGGTCTGATAACAAAGCGTCATGTTTTCATGAATTATGACTAATGCCTTGTTTTCTGAATAGTGTTTTATTATTTAATGGATGCAGGACATTTATTTCTATTCATAGTCATGGTTCACAATAATGACATGTAGAACCCTAAAAGACGATGTGTTTAAGAAATACTGTCAGATTCATCAATGTCTGTTCCAAAGGAAACAGCACAAACAACCCTAAAAAGCAAAAATGCTCATATCCATGTCAAGTAATCTAGTATAATATGAACTCGCTGAAATCAATATTTTATTTTCATATATTGATAATTTTCATGTTCTTTCATATGTTATTGTCAGGGACAGTAATAAAACTTCCAAACAAGTAAATAAAGAAATAAGGTACTTACTTTTTTCAAGAGTTCATCAATTTTAGTGGTGTGGTAATCAATGGCATCCACTTTATTTCCACGAAGACCAAGAAAACCAGTCTGGTCAAAACATATGAAAGAGAAAGAAAGGGAGAGAGATTACTTGATTAGCACCTAGTAGTAATCCTTAAGGTAGTCATAAGTAATCCAAGCTTGAAGGCATTTAAGATCAAATGGAAATACCTTCATAGTCGGTCTTATAGAAGTTCTTTCAAGTTTATTTTGATAATAGACAAGCCAATTCTGTAACTTTTTCTTCTTCTTCACCATCTTTGCCAGTTTGTTTGCATCATAAACAACCTGCACGAATGTTTCAATAAAGATGTTGACTCATCCACCTTTTTTTAACCCTCAACACCCTGAGGGAAAAATAAAAGACTACAAAGTAGCCAAGTTTTCTCCAACGTAAGTGTAAACTTTCGTTTTGGTCCTCCAAAACATTACCCTTATCATTGCACTCCCTCGAAGATTATTTGTTTCTACATTCCAATAGTACTTGATAGTCTAAATTTTGTTTCCATTTCATCACTCAAAAAGTACGACAATCATAATATGAAAATGAAGGAATGGTAGAGCAGAAACAAACCTGGTGAGTAAGATAATGATTAGGATGATTGACCAGAAAAAAGTGTTCCACAAGCTCACTTACTGACTCATCAGGATCTGATGGTATATTTCTAACAAGCACCTGAGAACAATACCTTTTTGTATGAGAAGACACTTCCACATGATTAAATATACAATTTGAATATGAAGAGGGATTAGAGAGAACTTTTGAGCTATGTCTGTGTGAGGATGATAGAATAGATGATTTGATTTGAATCAAACTTACTGTAAATTGATCAGGGCGACGTTTTTCAGCGGCAAGAAACTGCAACCTCATGGAGGCAACTTTCTCGTACTCTTTGCGCAGAACATAGCATGTCCAAAAGGTAAAGCCATAAGCCATTACTATGTGTCCCCAAAACCTGAGATACAGAACAAAATCTCGATAGATAAATAAATTCACCAGCAATTCAAACCATGTTAGGATAAGAGTGAAGAATTTAGTGAATAATATCAAGAAGTGTAATTGAATAGCAAGAAATTAGGTTCCTTGGACCTTTTTGATTCGTCTTCAACGTTTGAAATAGAGATTTTATCAATATCACTTGAAGTTAAATTGGTTGCATTGGCTGACTCTAGGCCATTACTTGTCCAATTTACAGGCACCAGAACTGCCCATGCTAGAAAAGCTATAGGAACAAATATTTTAAGCCTGCACAATAACAATATTAGCAGTTAAATAGTTCAAATATGTTTTCCTACATAAAATTCCATAAAGAAGCATCCATATTTGATGAAAAAAATTGTATCATAGCCAGGAGATGTATAACACATGAAATTCAAAGAAAAAATTAAAAACTTGGAGGGCCACGACTTTACCGAGTTCCTCTCCCTCCACCACTGGGGAGGCATGTCTCTTCTAGCTTCTAAGAAGTATGTAACTGATAAACTCTTCCCTATAGGCTGGCTAGTGAAATGAGACTCAACCTTAACTATATCAGATTACCTTAATCCTTATTTATTGTCCATCCTTAGAATGTCAACATCTTGATTCCTCATAGAAGGCTTTCTCTACATTACTTATTTTTCTCAAGACTTTGTTGACCTAAAGATCTAAGCATGTACAAAAAGACCTCAATTTTCATTAGATTTAGAACCAAGCTACCATTCACTATATCAGACACTGATATCAGATAAGACACAATCACTTTAAAGTACATGCTTACCCAATCAAATAAATGCGCAGGTAAACAGCAGAGTCCAACCCAGCATGATCAATGAGTTCCGGTTCAGGCATTTTAAGAGCCTCAGGCATCCAATTGAGAAACTTGAGATAGGCTCTCCAATCTAAATTGACGAACTTGCGAACAAATGCTCCTCCATGTGCAGGATCTGATCTTAAACCTCTGATGTACCATTTTGGGAAGTATACTCTGTCATTCAAAGGTTGAAGTCTCAAGATAGCAAATAATACAAAGAACAAAAATGCGCTCAGAATATTAATTCCAGCTGCAAGTCCAATATCTCCAAGTGTCGCCATTTTTCTCTTCTACCAAAACAAGCTACCTTCAACAAAAAAACAGGGACATCAGGATTCAAAAACAAACAGAATCTACTCAGAATAAAAAACGAATTTATCATGATTGATCTCCAGTACCTATATTTTCACTGAAGTTGTGCTAAGGACTAAAAAAACGAAGTGTTTTAAATTTTTCAGAGAGAGAGAGTGAGAGAGAGAGAGAATCAAGACTGACCAACAGACAACGCAAAAGATCATGTGAAAGAAGCAAAGGGAAAAGAAAAAGTGGATGATGAAAAGGCAAAGGATAAAAGAAAGGATCGTACTTTGTGCTTATCGCTCACAGGTCGGCAGGGGAAGTAATCCCAGATTATTAGAAGATGAAAAGATCAATGTAACTAAGGGCGCGTAGTTCAAGTGTGTGTGTTGTGTTTGGGTGTGTGTGTGTGTATATATCTCTTCAAAACCAGAAGAAGCAAGACGATGAATGGACTTCTACCTTGTCAAGAGACACCAACGTAGGACACACGACACACTCTTACAGACACATTTGAAATATGGCAGGAAACAAACAAACAAAAGAACAAAATCCAGATAAACTCACAGATATTCGTATGTTTGGAATGGAAGAAGGAGAATGGCAATTTTTGGTTGTTGCAGCGGGTGAACTGCATCATTACTGTTGCCTCTGTTATATTATATATTAAGGCGGAATCTGATTTTATAAAAAATATATCAACAATAAAATAATACTCCGGTGAACGTTAAACTAGATCACGAACATCTATTAGAAATAAAAATTTAAAAAATTAATCACTTAATCTTATACTTTTGAATTGATTGCAATTTACTCCCTCATCTTCAGCTCAATATAGCAGAAAACTTATAATTTGTCTCAGCTACAGTTTAACCCTTAAATTTTGACTTAGTGTAATCATTTAAAATATTAATTTCTAAGTTTCAATAATTTTATTTTACAAAATATAGGAATTAATATTTTAAATAGATAAAATTATAGGGATCAAATTATAAAAATAAAAGTTTAAAAATTGAATTTTAACTGTATCAAAATTATAAGAATTGAGATTAATTTTTTTAACTGAGTTAAAAATATATAGACAAAATGATTAATTTGTCGGGAAAAATATATAAGTTACGTAATGATCATCAAAGTTAAGTTAAAGTATTCTTGTTGGGGACTCCTCGTAGTTATAAAAGTCATAGCATACATTTCTGCGTCGGCAAGTTGCCAAGTGTGTATCAACGGTTACTTTGTTTCGTTGGCTCGTGGATTATAAGGAACAAGTACGATCTGTACCGCGGGAAAGGAGTGTGATGTACGCGCAATAAGATATCGTGGAGGACACCGGCGAATAGGGTATGGGTGAGAGGTCCACGTCAGGAGGATGAACTGGCGACAGCAACAGCAACTGGGCCAAGGAAGAATCCGCGTGAGAGAAGCGGAGAGAGCGTGGGAGTGGGACACGTGGACAAGCGCCGGACTTTGGTGAAACAACGGAATATGTCCGGCTATGGTTGATTGGTTGTGTTTTTCTGTTGAGAGTTGTAAGGTTTCATTCCTTCCTTCGCCCCTTTGTTCTTCCCATTAATGCCATCAATTCTTGTCATTCTTTCTCCTTCATGAATACAAATGGTCTATGCACCATTAACATTAAAGGTGATCATCGGTGGGTTCAATATTAAAATATATAAAATTAATATATTAAATAATGTTAAAAATATGAATCGAATAAAAATCAAATTAAAAATTAATAATTTAATTTGATCGGTTAATTCAATTTGAATTTTTGTTAGGTTGTTTGGACTTGAGCCCATTTTATTATTCTTTTCTACTAAAACAAACAAAGTTTATATATAAAATTAGGCTTATAAAATAATGATGGTCCATTTTAATAAAGGGTTAATATTTTAACTTATCAAATTATATATTTACTTTTATTTAAGTATAAAATTAAAAAGAACAAAATAAAATAATTAATAATATATATATATATATATATATGATAATTCAATTAGTTTAATCTATTTGATTTTAAATTGTACTAATTGAATTAAATTGATCAACCAAAATTTTTTTTTCCAAAAAAATTGAAATCAAATAATAACAATTCAATTCAATTTTTAGTTTTGGTTTGATTTTTCTCACTCCCTAATTAAGTCACCCACCAACTTGAAAATGATTCGTATTAGTTTAATTAGAGATGTTGAATTCCAGCCTAAAAACACGATCATGTTAAATATTCAATAAAAAAGTTTGAGGATGGCGGGTGATCTAATCCAGATAAATAAAATGATCCATACATTCATGTTGATTCAAAATTACTTTTGGGTGATTAACATAGTTATGTTCTAAAAATATCCTTAACAAATGTAATAAATTCTAACACGGTCTTTTTCGCATCTCTCAATCATCTCTATTTCTATCATAATTACTCAATAATATCCATACGTGGACATTGTCAAAAAAAAAATATTAATTGTTTTATAGATTTTATAAAACAACTTATAAACAAAAATATAATAATTCTGTCATAAAAAATATAATAATTCCCAAAATACGACTTATAAATGGGTGAATAAAGAATATTATTTATGGCATAAGATAGAATGAGTTTAATCTATTTTTACCTTTTATCATTATCTTTCTACCTCCACAATTATACAACTATTACTAATTCAATTTGAATTATCTACCAATTTGTGCGGAAGTTTGACTCCAAATAGAACAGATTTGCGTGAAAGCTGGAATAATAATCGCCAAAGGAAAGGTACAGATAGTCACGACACATTGTTTTTTAATATATATATATATATATATATATATATATATTTTAATATGAGTCACACTGCACATATTATATTCAGATTAGAACAAAAGGATTTGTCAAGAGCTAATTTCAATCCATGATGATGCCGTGTGATTATTTTGACATGTTCTCTCATGAATTCATTGAGGCCAACAACACACAAAGATTGATTTACATTTACACTAATATTATAGATATGAAATTATATGCTATAGGTTAGATAATGGGATACTTTTTTATTTTTTCGTGCGTGATTGCTGAATACCATAATTTTTCTCCTAGTAAATTAAAATGGAAGTTACCTTATAACGGATTGAAAGTTAACAACTTTTTTTTTAATTCCTTTCTAACTATTATTGTTAACTAATTTATGTTTTTAAAAAAAATTTAGTTAAAATATTGATTTTTACAAATTTTCATATTTTTCCAATCATGTACTTAAATATAATAAAAATAACATTTGACTTATTAATTACTCGATAAAATAAGGATATAATTATAAAAAATTATATATATATATATATAATATATATATAACATCTATCAAATACCCTATAATATTTTGGATTAAGCAAAATTTATAAAAAAATGTACTCCCTTCGTTTCAAATTATAAAATACTTTTAGATAAAATCTCACATACCAATAACCTTCATTAAATACACTTAACAACCTTATTTTTTTAAAATAAAAATATAAACTTTTAAAAATACTCTTCATTTAATAATATTAAATCCACACTTAATTAAAATTAAATATATATATATATATATATATAGAGAGAGAGAGAGAGGATAATATTGAAATACACCCATTTAATAAACTTTAATTTTTTTAAAGTATTTTATATTTTAAAATAATAAATTTCTTTTAAAAATATTTTATAATTTAAAATAGAAAGAGTATTATTTTATAATCTAAATGGAGTGTATGAATTTTAAATATTAATCAATTGCTCACGGACGTGGTTGATAGAATATATCCAACATTGCGACCATTACTCCTTAACTCCATTTGGGCTCGTTCTTGCTAATCTGTTTCTTTTGCTGTTGGGCTCTAGCCCACTTGATTTTGGGCCGAACATCAATAATGTAGTTGATATTATACACACATAGGAGACACGTATTTGATTACGACGTCGTTCTGTTAACTTTTAAATAATATAAGATATAAGATTATCTCTTTCGCGTACCCCTAAAAGAAAAAAAAGATTATTTCTTTCATGATGAACTCTTCAGGCCAATATCCAAAATTCTAAATGCATACAATCATTGGGTACCATGTATTCAGAATTTTAAGTGAAAGTTTGGAATTCGGAATGAGATTAGGAGATGAAGCTAAGCAAAGCTTGAGGCAAATTCCCAAGCTAATTTGGGAAAAATAACATTTAAGGACTTTTTTAAAAATATTAATTACAGTTAGTGATCTTGAAACTTTGAAATTCTAAAAAATCATGGTTCTTGACTGGAATTAAAAATTTCATAAGTTCTTTTTTTTTTAGTACTCTTTTTTATATCTCACAGTTTTTGCTGGTTATTGAATAGAAGTAGCCGAAAAATGTAAAGGAGAAAAACAAAACTAATAAATGTCACTGAATAAGGAACACTTAAACATATAACAACAAACACTTATTTATTTACAAATACAAAGATGATAGAATCATACTATTAATTAAAAATTTTAGACCTTATCATCATCAAGAAATTTCCTATGTAAGTTCAGCGTGAACATAATGACTCACATACAGTAGCAGAGTATTAGAATCATATTTTTGATATTACATTCAAAAATCTTGTAACTTTGAAGCCATTAAAACCTACATACATACTTACATATATATATATATATATATTGCCTCCACTATAACTTGAAGGTGTAAATGAGTGTGTCATAGCTCATAGATTAAAAGAAGCTACCTTCCAGCAACGAGATGCATCATTGCTTGGGTTTCATAAAAGGAGCCAACATCCCAGTCCTCTGTTGAAGAAGAAAGTGTCATCAATGCAACCACAATTGATCTCATGCTTGGCCTTAGTTGAGGATTCTCGTGTGCGCAGGCTTTTGCCAGCTGAGCCATCTGCAAATGAATTTTTCAATACACCTTAATATTTTAGTTCCCTGCTCATAAAGATTATATACAATATAGAATTGGAATACTAAAACTTTTAATTTTTCAAATTTGCCTCTGATGTAGTGCCTCAAATTTAGTTTTTCTTTTTTATGAAATTATTCATTTATGTTTTTTAAAGTTATGTTTTTTAAAGTTATCGCATTAGCCCTTTAGATTTTGAAACAAAAATTAGCCCTCGTTAATATGATGTGTAAAGTATATTAATAATTTGACATGTATATATGACTAAATAAGGACAAATTAGCCCTCACACCAATTTAATTTTTAAAAATTCAGTCTCTTTATGCTATGTTTTCTTCTTTGATTTTTTTTAAAATTTTTGTCTCTTTTATTTGTTTTCTAAATAATTACATTCCTTTTCATTAATCCACGTTGCTGCCAACTTAATATTCTATTATTCATGTTAGTAGATATGGTGTTACCTCCTCTTCAAATAATAAGGACCAAATTAATAAGTGAGTCAAATTTAAAGGATCAAATTGATACAAATTAAATTTAAAAACTTAAATCAATAATTAAGATAAATTTAAGGGGTTAACTCTTCATTCAGAAAAGTAAAAAACTAGGAGGAGAGAATACTATTTTTGAGAGTTTTTCCTTCTAATATTCTCTCTTCCTTATTTTACTCTTACATTTCCTTCTATCCAAATCAAGCCCAAGAATTTTATTACCCCTGATAGATTGTCATTTTTAAATATCATATTGAATATATTGAGTAGTGATGAGAGAAGGCAATAGTATCACCTTATACACTGATTCAAAAGGGTAGTCATCACCAAGCCTGGGATCAACAAGTTTACAAAGACCTTCTTTGTCTTTGGACTTCGTTAAAACCTCTTCGAACTGCAATATTTTACCAACCAGGCTGGAAATAATTAGAAACAAAACAGAACAAACGCTAAAGTGATTAGAGATCAGTATTACTAGTGAGTCCATAAGAGAGGACAAAGGAAAACAACCAAGGCAACAAGTCCTCTTGATTCTGTCACAAGTTCATTTGTCTTCACAATAGCTTCCTTGCCAGATATAAGTTCATACAGCACTACTCCAAAGGCATACACGTCAATTTTGGGTGAAACGTCACCGTATTGTGCATATCTGCCCATGAATTCTGCAATTAGTCAAACTGCATACATTCTCTGCCAACCTTATGATTCCCAGTGTAAATTATGAGTAAAGCTGAAACAATCTTGTGCTCATAATAGTAATAATTAATACAGGAAATATAGAAAAATAATGGTAACCCAACATGGCCTAAAATAAGGGTCAAGCATTTCAAATTATCCACTTAGGCCCTATATTTGTAGGGCCCAAATTGAAAGAAAATGATTTTTGCTTTTATCAAATAGCTTTTAGACTTGGCCCTTTAAAAATAGGTTCAATAGCTAGTCATTTAAAAATGAGCTCAATATCAAGCTAACCCTTTTTAAGTTCTATATTTTTCTCTCCCTTTTATCTAGTTAAAAATTATTTGGTTGAAATTGTTAATATTGCAAGATAATATGGTTGAAATTGGTTGGTTTATTTTCATTTATGAATTAATATATAAAAATGAAACAATTTCTTAAATTATATATTAATATAATTAGAAATTTAAATAAAAAATTAAGGAAAAAAAATTATGTGGCTTTTGAACCCGGCCCTAAACCCTATCAATTAGGGCTGAGCTTGAAAAACATAATCAATTTAAGATATATGATTTTATGGATTTCAGCTCTTAAGTGTCAGATTTAAAAAGATTAGCCCGTTTTTATTGAAAGCTCTACCCAAATGTTATTACAAAAAAAAAACTCAGATAAAAAGAAGAAATTCAAGGACAACTCGTTACTCATTAGACCGGATGAAAAGGGTGAGAAAAAAAATCTTACTCTGGAGGCATGTACCCAAATGTACCCACAAGTCTTGTAAGAAGTGAAGAACTTCCATATTCAGCAAGTTTTGTCAGACCAAAATCTGCAACCTGCCAAAAAGTTACACTCAGCTTTCAAACTTCTATTAATCAAAAGCCATGAATAACATATACTTCAAAGTCCAAGCAGTGTCAAATTCAGTACTTGTAACAGACATGATGCAATGCTACACAGTGCACTTGTAAACTAAATATCTTTCCATGTCATAGTGTGTCATGTCCTATATTCATGTTTCTAAGATCAAAACTCAGGAGAGCAACATTTGCAAACCTTTCCACGAAAGTTCTTATCAATCAAAATGTTTGCTGATTTGATGTCTCGATGAATGTAGACGGGAACTGTATGCTCGTGGATGTATTCAAGTCCTCTTGCTGCATCCAGAGCAATTTGAACCCTAGTTGACCATGATAGTGGTTCTCTTCCTGAAAGTGACAAAACATTAAGAATATTCAAATCAAAATAATGACAGAAATTTCAAGAATCAAGATGATGGATGCTTGATCTTCTTACCAGACCCACGTAAATGGTGACCTAAATTTCCATTCTCAATGTACTCGTAAACCAAAAATAAAGAGCTCTCAACACAATATCCTATTAAGCGTACCTGCACAAAAAACAGAGTATACATGCAAGGAATCATAAACCTTGGTTTGTGAATGAGAGTAACAATACTAAAGACTTGACTTGCTTGCTAGTTGTTTATCATGGAATCCCAGAAATAGGATGACTTAATGAGAATTCACAAAATCAAAGCTTCATCATGCTAGCAATACTAATTAAACCAATCACAAACTTTGTCTCGAGTTTAAAATGTCATAGACATAATATCAAATTAAAATTTGATACTCCTTTCATTTCAAATTATGAGACACTTTTTAAGAAAGATTTAACATCCCAAGATATAAGACACTTTGATGCAAATAAGGTTCATTAATAATACTTTTTCAATATTCTTCTTACATATTCTCTATCTTCAATATTCTTTCATCAATGGAGTATTAAATGAAGGGTATTTTTAAAAATTTATATTTTTCTCTTAAAAAAGTAAGATTGTAAAGTGTATTTAATGAACTTTATTAGTATGTGAGATTTTATTTAAAAATATATTATAATTTGAAATGAAGTGAGTATATACTCCCTCAATCCTATTTATGGATTTGGAATCAGTGAGTGACTTAAGTATACTCATTCAATGAGTGTCTTAATTACAGCCATTATTACTTAAAAATTATCAATATATTTTTCTCCAATAATGCAAAACATTCTTTACAATTCAAGCACTCCTCACATCTACTGACCCTTCCAAAAATTTGAGATTTAATACTTTTTGAATATTATATGGTAAAATTTCTTACAGCCATTCAATTAAATTGAATGATTGTTATCATGCCATGTAAAACATTTATTGAGTGAGTACTAGATCCAAATCCCTTATTTATAAAGCAGAAATAAAAGAATTTTTTTCTCCTATTTATGAAGTATGTCATTAACTTTTTATTACAAGTTTCCTTTTTTACCTCATTAAATGGTGGTAAAGAAAGTATGTTATTAAAATATGTATATTTAATAAAAGTAAAGTTAAAACGAATTAAAATTTTTTTTCTTGTTTTAAGTGAAACTTATTAAAAATGATTTATGAATAGGATTAAAGGAAGTATATAAGTATGGTCTAAGTTACTCATATCTACCACCTCAGTATCTGTTCATGTCCTTAATAATGTAAGTACTAGTGATCACTCATTCATGGAGCATACACAATGTTTTGTGAAAATGATTCATTCATCATGTCTAAAACATTCTGCATTAATTTCCAGCAAATAAAACAGCAGGGAAAATTTCATACCAAGTTCAAGTGGTGAACATGTGTCAGAACCTTGAGTTCAGCAAGGAATTCTTTTGAAGCTTGCATATCCATCTTCTTAATTGCAGCTTTCTACATGATACAGTAAATAAGGAAAAATTCAACTGAGTTTCTTCAACTTTAATAAGATAAAGATTATTAAGAGACATGAATGAAGCAATTATTGATTGTATTTTGTATCTTTCACTTCAAAGTGATCACTAATTCCTGGATTATAGACAACATTTTGGGATTATCATCATTTAATATTGTTCGACATACCTCGTCTCGAAGCTCTGCATAGTAAACAGATCCGAAGCCACCTTGACCAATCTTATTAGACATAGAAAAACCATTGGTTGCTTTGGCAAGCTCCTCATATGAGAACTCTACTGACTTGTCTACTGTGATTCCTGTCAGCCTTGGAGAAGCCACATCTCCAGATTCTGAAGCCTTCTCCAAGCTGCTTCCTGAGCCTAAATCCACAAAACAGTTCAACATTATGATTAAAAAAAGTCTAAAACTAATTATAGACCTTTACTTTATATCAGAATATATATATATATATATATATCAAGGTGGGACTTTCCCCAAAAACACCAATGACTTGTGTTGCTCACTATCAAGAGACTCATATCAAGAGTTCAAGTCAAGTCTTTAGAATACTTTTTCTTTCTTTTTTTTTTTTATCTAATAGTATATCTAACATTCCTCTCACTCAAAAGTCTTTTGAGGTTGAAGCAAAGCAAGAACCTGTCATTTGTTGAAAAATTTAACCTGGAGTTTGACTTGATCATGAAGAGAACATCAAGTCTTATTTTCCTTCAAAATTATATTTCAGATTTTGAGCTAAGGCTTTTTTTAAATTAGGAAAAACATATTCAGTGTTCGATGATCATGTTTATTAGAAGAAAGACTAGAGTTGGATGAAGATTAATAGGTGTTTTTTTTTATCAGACTTTCCAAATGTACACATGATGAGGAAAAAAGTTTTTAAAACATGCAACCAGATGATGCAAGGCTAAATACACACGCACGCACAAACGAAGATTCACTTAAACATGCTTGGATTGAAAAGCCTGATAACAAATATATAAAAACTGTAACTAAGTTTTCTGCTTAAAGGAAGGGTAACATCAGCAAGCATTGAACTCCTCATAGTTTGACCCAGAAGGCTCTGAAAACACATGATAGAACCAAACTAACAAAAAAATCCCAAAAAACATGAGCTATGAGAAACAAATTAAGGAATGAATTTCATAAGTATATATCCCAAACTCAAAATATACAGTAATAAGGAACCTGTGAGGAAGAAAAGCAATGAGATTTTACCTCGTCCAATCTGAAGATACTGATGATCTTCAGATGGTCCAGGAAGAAGGGATGTCTCTTCCACTTTCTTGCTTCTATATAGAAAAACATACAGAACAAGAGCCAATAATAAGGCCCCAAAAACTGCTCCAGCAGATATTCCAGCAATAGCTCCCCCAGATATTCCTATTTCAAACACCATTTCAAAGTTAGTATATGGTTCTTATCTGTTAACTTCCCTTTTTTTTTTTTTTCAGTGTTTAACTTCACATGTAGAAATGAAACTTTGACGAGCCAGCCCTGAAACTGTGCATAGGATCCACTCACCTGATCTGCAAGGGGGAAGAAAATGTTGTAGCAGCTATATATGCTGAAGTTAAAAGGGTTAAATAACTGTTCATTTTTCTTTCTTTTTAAGGATGAGGTATAAATTTCAACTTACCTAATCTGTAGAGGTAAAAAGCTTCCCTTGTCATCTGCACATAATGCAAATCAGGACATGAAACACCAATTGTGAATTAAAGTAGTAGAAATTGCTTTAGAGAAATTGATGTATATAATATACACTTGGAATAGCAGGTTGTTTGAATGAAATTTTAAAAATTGAGTTTCACACTTCCAATTTTTAATTCCTGAATGTCAGGTCAGTGTTAAACAATTTCAGCCATCAAAATGTAACAGAAGTCCGGGATATATAATGAAGATTATCGTTACATTTTTTTTTTCTTTTTATTGGCTAAACTAGTGAGAGGCATCATGCAACTACATACATTAATTGAAATACTTCTCAAGTTAAAATATTTTTTCATTCAATATTATTTTTTTCTGTTCATAAAACAGTTTATCCACTATTGTAAATATAATATTTTTAATTTTTATTTATGTCATATAAAATATAATTATCTTATTTTAGTTACATTTTTATTCTTCTATAAATTTAATTTAAAATAAGGTCTCCAACTTTTTTTATTATACATAGCTATCTTTCTATTAAAGAAAATCTACTAACTAAAATTGATGTGAGGTAAAATTTTTGTCACTTAAGCAAATAAGTATCTAAGAAAAATATTTTTTATTATCAATGGAGCTTACTCCTTAAATTTATAAAAAAAAATAAGAAAAATCTTATTTCAAAAACAGTCACTTCAAGATCAATTATGAAGCCCGGCCCATAGGATACAATTTAGAGGACTCGTCAGTGGGCCAATGGCCCAAAATCCTCTTCAAGGAAATGAATTATATGTTACATATAATTTATAAATAATACCACTTGATATATCCATATGATAATGGATTGAATCTGAGTTTCCAACCTTTTGGTTCCTTGAAGGAAAAGAAATAGAAAAATTAGTAGGGAAAATCACATCCAACTTCATTCCAAAGGAATTAATCATAGATAAGAATCAATGCGAAATGAGTTGTTATTAAAATAAGAATATAATTTATTTTTTTCTTAAATGAAACTTATTGTTGGTTCTTATTTGTGATTAATTTTTTTAAAAGGAGGCTAGATGTAATTCTCCAAAATTAGTATTATGCCAAAGTTTGATGGTATGTTTCATACTTTGCCATTTCTTTTTATTAAAAAACGCTCTGGTAATTTGATTGGAAGAATGTTTAAAATTTAATTATTTTTAAAATTGTTCTCATTTTTTTAAATAAAATCATCTTAAAGATACAAGGTTTTTTTTTATTTTTAAAATGTATTATATTTAATTATTGACTGCCCCCATTATTTGCCAGTGACTATCACTATTGATTGATTTGTTAATTTTAAATTTTTTTTTATTCACACGACTAAACAAACTTTCTTTTTATCTTATTTTAAAAAATAATTTTAAAAACTTTATTGTTAAAACATATTTTAAAAATAAAAAAAATGAGAATTGAAACCAGATAGGCCCTTAATATCTAACCTATGCCTGTTTGTGCCGATTTCTTATCTGCTGAAATTATCTTGAATTAAATAGTTCATTTAAAAAAATGTAGTCAGTAATGAATGAGTAAGTCATCATTTTAATCCATCCATCAAAAATCCTAAAAAAGTGACAAATGTGGACGAACACTGACGTGGACGATTTTGCATCGTTGTTCAATAACTGTACTCCATTAAATTATTAAAATTTCCGCATTCTCTATTATAGTCAATTCTATCTGAGAGAATATGCTAATAGCACCGTAGCAGAATCCTTCGAGACTAAAAGGTCGATGACCTCGCAAAAGATTAAAGGCAATGTGTTCATTAAAAAAATCTTCATTATTCAAAAGATGACGCCATTGAAAAAGCGTATGAAAGCGCCTTTTTGTCCGTATTAATTATATTTTATCTTAATTTTTTTAAAAAAAAAAATATATATATATATATATAAGCCGATATATTTGTAATTTTGCATAGACTATAAAAAGTTCAAAGACTCAAATTGTGTAATATAATTATTTGTTAACCTAATAATTGTCTTTTTCACCATATATAATTATAGCAAAACAACAAAACAAAACGCAATCAGCTAAAGCAACCGACGATGAAAAACTTAAGAATAATAAATAAGTAAAACTTTCAGTTTCACATTAGAGGAAAATATAATTATTATGAATATAAAATATACAATTTGTAAATAATTATATTTTTTTAAATTTATGAAGAGTAAATAATAGCCCTCTCCATCCCGCATATTTTTTATTCCTTCAATATTTTTTTCAGAAATTGTTTTAGAAAAAATAAGTATAATTAAATTATTACCTCTAAAATATCTAGCTAGCTTTAAAAAAATTATATTACATTTTTTAAATTCTTTTAAACCTTTTAGGCTTTTATAGTTTTCTTTGGAGAGATATTTTAGCCTCCAAACTAACATTTTATCACCTCTCTTAAATAAAACTAAGATAAATTTAAAATTTAAAAATACACTGTAGATAATATGTGTTGCCGAATATTATATTTTTATTTTAATATAAACTTATTAATAAGATATTTTATTATCATTAATTCATAATGTAATTAATAAAAAGGATTATTTACTATTAAAAATGGTCATTAACAGTCACCGCTAACCTTTGGCCGGCAAAAACACCAGTCCACTTCCGGCGTTGAAGTCGGAGGCGGGATTATAAGTCTGTATGAGCTCCGCCGGCACACCGGAAGCCGCTGCGAGCTTCGACAACGTGTCGCCGCTTTGGAGTGGGTACGTCAAAAACAATCCATAATCCCTCGATACATGTCTATTGCCACACGAGCAATTGACGGTGACGTTAATCCCAACGTTTTCTGGTATATCTGAAGGTTCATACGAGTTCACCCTCTCCAGCCAATCCTCCGTCGTCAAGTTAGAAAAATCTTGCTGAGCAATTTTACGGTACGTATCGCCTGGTTGAATTGAGTAAGTGAAAGTGTGACCTAAGAAGACGCCGTTCAAACAATCGCACGTGAACGGCAAGTTGATTCGGGTTGTACTTGGAACATAATCCGGATTGGGGACTGTTGGATTGTATTTGAGAATCTCTGGAATTTTTTGGCCGAAAATTTCACTAATGTATGTCAGATTTGCGCCTTGCCAAACGTAGTACGAAGCTAAAGCAAGCTTACAACCAGAGATACAGTAAGCTTCAACTCTGAGAATCGGGATCAAAATGAGAAACGAAAGACAAGCCAAGAATTTTGTGCTTGCTTTAGTGGTCATTTTGAGTAGAAAAGGAAGGATGACGAGAAAAATTTTGGGAGAATTTGAGGTTATAGCTTGGTTGCAGGTTGAGGTAATTCAGAGGAGAGACGAACTTGGTAAGAGTTTGAACCATTCTTCCATTTAGTTTCTTGTTTAATATTTTGAGGCTTCTTGCTACGTCTTGAATCATTGTTAAGCTCGATTATTATATTACCAGAGAAGTTGAATAATACAGCTTACAAGCTTAGCATGAAAACAAATTGGAGGGTGACTCCAAATGGAAAACCTCAAATTTTAAATGTTTGAAAGAACTCAGTGCGAACTACATTGGGAAAGAATAATGTCGCTGTCTATCATCCTATGAAAATTTATTAAGAAAAAATAGCGTTGGAGGATCACTGTGTGAAATTTATATCATATAAGGATCAAATAATGTGCTATTTATTCTGTAGTCTTCTAGTCTTTCTTTGATATTAATTTTGTAAGTAAAATGAAAAAATTACTCCTCAAATAATTAAAAAAAAAAAAGAAATCCCACCAGCTCCTACTGCTAGTCGAGGTCAACGACGGCAAGTCACCGGAACTCCAGCACTAGCAACATTTTATTTGAGAAATAAATTTTTTAGGTGGCCAAAAAAGGATTTGATCTTATGACTCTTGACTATATAAAAAGCCAGGCCACCAAACCCTTTAATAGCATATAGTAAAAAAAAATTTATATATATATAAGCAGTAAACCAAGTTTCTAATTACTTTCATGTAATAACATAGTGGTATGTTATTAATTTTTAAACAGAAGTTGTTATTTTACAAATATTACTTATTAATTTGACATAAACAATTATAAATTGATAGCTTTAAAACTCACACATTTTACTTATTAAATGTCTCAATGTATTGTTTTCAATTACAAATAAGTTATTGTCAAAGCCACACAAATACTTATTAATGAATGACTAACATGTACAATTAAATCCTTCTTATCAATTTTTTTAACTTGTTAAAACCATAATAGATTCTTATTAATTTCAAATGAATTGTTATTATTTTACAAATATTACTTATTAATTTAATATAAACAATTACAAATTAAGGGCTTTAAAACTTCACTCATTTTACTTATTAAACATCCTAATGCATTGTTATCAATCACGAACAGGTTGTTGTCAAAACCAAACAAATACTTGTTAATGAATGATTAATACGTACAACTAAACATTTCTTATCAATTTTTCTAACTTGTAAAACCATAATAGATTCTTATTAATTTTGAATGAATTGTTGTTAGTTTACAAATGTTACTTGTTAATTTGACATAGACAATTATAAATTGGGAGTTTTAAAGTAATATTTATAAAATAACAATAATTCATTCAAAATTAATAAGAATTTATTATGGTTTTAATAAGTTAAAAAATTAATAGAAAAGATTTAGTTATACATGTTAGTCATTCATTAACAAGTATACGTTTAGTGTTGACAACAACCTATTTGTGATTGACAATAATATATTAGGACATTTAAAAAGTAAAATGTGCGAGTTTTAAAGCCCCTAATTTGTAATTGTTCATGTCAGATTAACAAGTGACATTTGTAAAATAACAAGTTCTATTTAAAAATTAATAACACACCGTTATATTATTACATGAAAGTAGTTAGAAACTTGATTTACTACTTTTATATATATATATATATATATATATATTTGTTATATGTTATTAAAAGGCTTTTTAGGTGGCAAGGGTCATGGGATCAAACCCTCCCTTGGCCACCTAAATCAACTTTCTTTGAAATAAAATGTTAGGGGCTTTGGTGACCTTGTAGCTGGCAGTGGTCCGACAGTCGTTGACGGCAACAGTAAGAGTTTCTTTTTTTCTTTTTAAGTTCTTTAACTTGAGAAGCAATTCCATCATTTTGTTTATAAAATTAATATGAAAGAAAGATCAGAGGACTGCAAAGCAAATATGAAATCATTTAATCCTTATGTGATAAAAATTTTACATAATGGTCCTTGAATACTATTTTTCCATTTATTAATTTATGAGGTCAAGGTCGCCGGATTTTTAGATTTGAGGATTTTTTTTTTTTTAAAGTAATTTGTGGAGGGAAAGATGTAGAAGAAATGAAGAGTTGTGCAATTGAACTAGGCGAATGTCTGGGCTTTCATTGTAGAGCATTGGACAAGGGATGGGAAGGGATGAAGATAACCTAAATATCTTTATTAAATCTAAGATAACTCAAATAAAGCAAGTAATCCTGAACAAATAATTCTAATATTAAAATAATATCTAATAATTCATATTCCATGATATTGGCACAGTTGAATTAGTTTGAGATGCTGATAAAAATGGTATTTTTAGCAAATTACAAAATATCTCTAAGATGGAATGGTGGGTTCCACCATGAGATGAACTTTGATTGAAAAGTGCCCGCCTTTCCACATAAGCTCAAAGATATTTTCTGTTACGATTCTAGTTGGGAGATATTTATGGTTTTGGGGACACCATAATTGGGTTCTCAGCTTCCTCTTCCCATTAATCAAAGCCTTTTCTTTCTTGAAGTCTGAAAAGGGTATTCTGTGATCAATGGAAGCTTCTGCTACTCTTGCTCTTTCTCAAATTCCATGGGTTTATCCCGCAAAACCCCACCACAGTAGAGTTTATCCTTTTGCTTCACCATTGAAGCGAAGGATCTCTCAACCCACCCACATACAATGCCAAAAGATGTACGTACCTGGTGGGTCAACTCTGTTTCTCTGTGTGGTGCTTTCTGTTCTCTGTGTTCTTGTGTGTGTGTGTTGTGCAGAGTGTAAAATTATAATATGCTATGGTGAGATGATGCAGGATATGGAGAAGCATCACCAGAAGCAAAGGCTGCCAAGAACCTCCACAATTTCTTTACCTACATTGCAGTTAAGATTGTTTCTGCTCAACTTCAGGTTCAAATTCTATCGACCTTCCTGTAACTTATATTAAGGCTTTTTGACTGCCCTTTTATTTCCTGTAGCTATATTCTATGCATATTTGTCACAGGCCGTGCTAAAATTTTACCATGGCTGACAACTTTACGTATTTGAACATCGGTCCTATCTCTTGCCAATTAATTACCTCAATACAAAAAATATTACTTTGGAGCAACTATACTTCCATGTTTTGTTACTTTTACAAACGGATTCAATGTTTTTTTTCCTTGCACTTTATATTGGTTTATCCCAATTTATGGTTTAGTCTGTAGCTTTAATTAATAATTAACCATATGCTTGTTGACCGTAGCACTATTAGTTAAAATCCTTTTTTCATTCTTCAAGCAGAGCCTATATCCGTGTCTTGTATTCATGTGTTGTTTTCTTGTATTTAGAAAATGCAGTCTAGTTCCAAGGATGAAATTTTCCAATTTTGTGAACTTAAACATGCTAGAATATTTAAAATATCACATAGGACCAAGGTCAAACAAATTACTACATGGGGCTGGGTTTTTTTTTTATATATATGTTTTCCTTACAAATAATTATCACCATTTATTGTTAAAAAAAGATTTTCAGCCCATCTCAATGATGATCAGATGATATTTCATAGTTATCTTTAATGTGAAACGTTAAGATTATATTTGAGTGGTGTAGATCTTATTTTGTTTATAATTTGGTACTTCTTATTTGAAAGAAACAAAGTGAAGAGTGAAATAATTCTTCCACTTTGAAATGTTTGTGCGTGTAAGTGGGTGGCCTCTCTTTCTTTTGAAGAAGTGCAAGATTAGTAGTAAAATTAAAAGAAGAAGAAGAAGAAGAAAAGCTGCCAGTCCCGATTTCATCCTAAAATTAATTCATTATTTATGAATTAAAAATATATATATATATATATATATATTCTGTACAAAAGATAGTTTTGTATCAGATGATACTCTGATCAGCTCGAACTGTTATTGTATGATGTATCCTGTGAACAATACCACCTGTTAAAGCTTATTCCCCAGCACAGAGCTACAATCGTGAAGCATACGAAGAATTGATGGAATTCTTGAGTAGACACTCATTGAATGATGGTGACATGTTCTGTGCCAGCATGATGCGAGAATCATCTAGACATAAGAGCTTAGGTAAGTTCAACGTTGAAATCGACAAGTTACTCTAAAATCAGTTGTTGTCTTAGCATTTGGATTAATAATCTTTTCCTGATTGAAATCTATGTAAAATTAATGCTGTGCAACTATGGCTTGTACGTGAATAGCTCTCCGCATACTCGAGGTTAGTGGATTTCTTGGTTACGATGTGGTTTTCAATATTCCCACTTGCTAAACTCTGATTAAGACTTTGATGTATCATTTTAGGTGAGATCAGCATACTGCAAACAAGACTTTGAATGGGACAACCTAAAGCGCGTCGCTGTTAAGGTAAGTAATCCTGCAATATTTTCTTGTTATTTAGAAAGTTGATGTTGCTTAAAGAAAATTTCTTGACGGTAAGCCCAGAAGTATGATGAAGAAATACACTCATGTTCCTCTATGATGGGATCAGGGTGTTTATCTTGTTTAGGTTGGGTTGGAAAGTTTTGAGCTTTAGATCTTTTATAGTTTTCAAATTGTTCAAATTTAATTTAAATAGGCTGAATTTTTTTTTACTTTTGATATTTATTGTAATTTTGAAAAGACAGAATGTAAAATAATAATTTTTTATTGTTAGACTTAAAAATAGTGATGATATAGATTAAAAATAAGATAATAAGTTTAAGGTCATCCAAATGAAATTTTGAAGATTTAGAGAAATGAAGATGGCTCATAGCTATGGTTCCAAATTCACTTAGCACCAAATGAAGATGGCTCATAGCTATGTTTTTAATATTTTTTAATGTATAAAAAATTCTAAAATAAAGGTAATTTTCTATCACTTTGTAAAAAAAAATTATTATTTGAAAATTATATATTACAATAATTTAAGTTTAAACCGTCTAAATCTAATTTGAATAATCTAGATTTTATTAAAACGATTAACACCTCATTGTTAATCACTCATCATTTCAAGGAGCATTTAACTGTAGACACACCCATATATCAATTGTTTAATAAACTATTTGCAATAAAAAAGTTCACATATTTATATATATTAAATATACTATTTACAAGTGTGCATTGCACCTCCCCATGCTCTCAGTTAGGCCAGAATCTAGTTTATCGAGATATAAAAAAGTTGAATCTATTTAGTAGCCGTATGAATGCATGGTATTGTTGGCTGTCCGTGTGCGTTGCAGATGGTCAATGAATCAAACACGAGGCTGATGAGGGAGTATATCTCGGAAACAAGTCCTGTAGAAACTGAAATATGAATCATGCCTTCTGTTGCCTCACCAGATTGCACTATAGCCCTCTATGTACAGAGTATTTTATTCATACATGTCTGTGGAGAACTAAACTATACGTCTCTTTGTTAATCATAGAGTCCTGTAGATGTAGACAGTTATGATCAGACACAGAATAAATTACAAATGATTGGGCTTGATATTTATTGTAAAGACCCAGTTCTGTATACCTGTGTTACAACCTCAGCCAGCAGAATAAAGTCCTAAACCTTAAATTGATACTCTTTTCCGTCCTAATTATCGGACAAGGTTAACCAACTTCGTGATTCTTATGGAATCTCAATAGCCAACTTGGTTATAAAAAATGCTAATATGGGAATATGTCACGTTAACATTATTTGATAGACAACCTTCTTATTCCAAGTCCAATATTACACTTGAGGTGCTATGCTATACAAAGCCTTGACAGACACAACCAGGTAGGAACTGTGAGCCGTGGCCAATTCTCCCACGTGCCTTTCATTATAAGAGTAGTTCTTCAGTATTGTGAATAAAAACCCATGGATCAGTATGTAGTTTTCCATCATATTACCAAAATCTTGGTTTGGATGGTAATGAGCTGCAATTATTCTCTGGACAGGTCACAGATGTGACCAAATTTTACTAGTAAAAAAGCTTCTTCATAATCTAGACCTGTATGCAATGAAACCATCCTTGAAATAAAACGTCCCCGTCATACTCTGTTCAAGCAGACATCAAAATTTCTTGTCACTCCAAGATTTTCATGGCTGCAAATAACACCAAATGGATTTAAGGGACCCAAAAATAGAGGAAGAAAGAAAGAAAAGGTCAAGCTTAATAGGAGAAAGGGGGTCTGCCGTCTATGAGCTTTGTCTCCACACATTTGCACACATGTTTATATAAACAACGGAACTCGCATGAAAATGAATCGACAATCAAAATGAAGTTATTACCTCGACAATACAACGGAGATCACTTGAAGCGTGAATATCACCAGTGCTGAGATATGAATGTGCGAATTCATCAATATGCTCCAGCCTGAAATTAATGTCAAATCACAGTGAACTTGTGAACAAATCACCCATGAAATTAAATGTGGTTGGTTGGAGGAATATGAAAGGAAGGGGAGATTCAAATTAATTGGGTTTTAAAAAAATGGAGAAGTGGAGTTAAAATATTTTAATTTTTGTTGCTCAATTAATTTACATAATGTCTTTATTAAAATTTTATAATCCCATTTATCCCCCCCCCTTTTTTTTCAAATCGAAGTCATTAAAAATTACCCCACCCCTCCCCTTTATTCCCCGCCAGCCAAATAAGGAATAATATCTTCGGGATATACTACCAACAAAATGGACTGAAGTTTACACATAAAGTAATATGATAACTTTTTTTTTTTTTTGCCAGAAGACCATTCATATCATTAAAATGCGTTCATATGGTTGTGCATTCACGTCAAACACCACAAACTTCATAAAACTACACCAGGTTGCTCCATTGGTAATATTTCTCCCCAAACTTCACCAACTTCTATTATCAGTAGAACTAAGGCACTTCTATTATCAGCAGAACTAAGGCAAGCGGTGTAAGAGGAAGTTTTATTATCAAGTAAGTTACATGATTTTAGATAAGTTAGTCAACAAGACACATAATAAGCTGGCATTTTTAATAAAATGGTGACTGGGGTAAAGATTACCTATAGACATAGTTCACCATGATGCTTCCACTTTGAGATAGGCCTTTTTCTGACCGATCAGCCATCCAGTTTATTCTCTCAATCATCTATTACAAATTCAGAATAAAAAAGTTATTCATTCGGATAGAAACTAACATAAGTTATTCATGGGCATCCTTAATAACTTATGCTTTTAAGCTAAGAAGGTTCTTCACATCGTATCAACATTTCTATCATTGAGTAATCCAAAGTATTTTTGTATGAGAAAATGTGTTAATAAATTATACTAACATTATTGATAATCCTTCACAAACAGCATAAACTTTTTAAACTGAAACGTCCTTGACAAACGCTACTTAAGACTAGAAACTACATGTAACTTTTTTCCAAGAACATTGATTTCCTTTTAGGAAAAATGTCAGTGAAAAAATTATCTCATACCAGTTCACAGTGAAAAGACCATGAAAGACGTTAAAACACATAACAGTAAATCTCGTACTAAAAGGAAACTACTGATTTCACAAAGAATTGCCGAGAACTGAGAAGTTGATTGACTGTTGAATAAGGCTGCATGACATACCGCTCCATTTTGCAAGTGAAAATTTGCTACTGAATCTAACGCTCTTCCTCTTTTCTTCTCTTGAAGAAGGTATCTACAATATGAGAAAAATATTATTTACCATTTGATGAACTCAGTTCAAGTTATCCAACACTCTTCTTTTTGTTTTTTGCATATGGTCCAACACTCTTCTTTTATTCTCTAGAAAAATTAAATAAATAAATAAATGATGAGAACAGAATACTCGAGTACAATCCCTATAAACTGTTTGTAATACCTGGCACATAATCGCATCAGAAGGGGTTGTAATACGGACAGCATTTCTGTTGATTTGGTCCACTTGTGGTCTGTAGAAGTCAGCAAGTTGAACATCACTTCCATTCCATTTTTTCCATTGGCGATATCTCTGCAACTCATATAGATGTTAAGCACACGTTAAAACCAAGTATAATGGATGTCCCTGACACAAATTATCATTAATTCAATGATAATAGCTAAAGCACCCAAGGAAGGATTTTGAATGCCTCAAAGCTAGAAACGTAACACTTCAACAACAAAAGTTCAAAACCAAGTATCACCAGAGGACAAACCCTAATGAGTTGTGATTGAATCAGAATTAGACTAATATGAATATCAACGCTTTGCTAGTGCAAACATAACATGCAATTAGAGACAGACTGAGAGCTGAAAGCAACTTCTAAGATTGGAAGATCTTCAATATTTTTCTGAAGATCCGTTGCAGATTTGGGCCTCCTTTCAATGTAGTCACCATATTCATTTGACTTTCCATTTCCACTTTAAATAAAGGGCAGCCCATCTATGTATATTATAAGAGTAAGTCCATTTCACTGTTTCCATATAAGCCATGCTTCACTGGGTTTTGTCTCCCTCTCACTGCTAAAAGTTGAATTTGTTTTGTGCATAGCATGGCTGGCCATGCACTAGTTGCGTCCCAATAATGACAGACAGACTGAATACAGACTACTCTCGAAGCAAATATGGACCAAAACATAATTTTTCGAATGAATATAATTATAGAATAGTACATATGTTACTTTGATATACTCATAAGTGCCCTTTCTTCTTCTGGTTTAAGTATATTCTCCCAGAATGTGGAACTGGATCCCTCAGCCAGTGATTGTGATGAGTCTGATTCAGCAAGTATTGATTGTGATGCCAACTTGGATAGAAGCCACTGCATGAATCCTGGGATGGGACTCAGAGTTGCAAATGTCTGCAAGCAAGAATTGAAAATTGATTGATAAAGCAAGATGCACAATGATTTAGTACATAACATATCACAACAATCTAAGAGACATGTCATTTGTCAAGGAATGTCGCATGTTCTAACAATTTTTCGACTTGAAGCATATCAACTTTAGACATTACTCTTCCATGATGACGAAAGCAATATATTAATTTTGGAGTCACTGAAAAATATTGGCATGTCATTTTTATGGTACTCCTCCAAGTACAACTAGTCACTGAAAAATATTGGCATATCAGTTTCAGTTTTGATAGAAGAAAAGAAATACAAGAAGCAAGAAATTAAAAGGCGCAACCAAAAAGTCATATGCATCTTAAACTTGGCAGATTTTTCCATCGGAGCCCGGTGACCAATTTGTTCAATAATTTCTTCAGGTTTTAGCCATTTTCAGCGAATCAACTATTCCAATCTCATTATATAACATAATGGATTGCTTCAGCTAGCTGAAGCCCCAAATAGAATTTTCTAATTTAAAATGAAAGGGACTTTACTCCTAGATGTGAACTTTATGTTAGAGATATTCAAGGAAATGCCTTTACTCTCCAAGAAGAATATACAAGAAATTAAAGGCAATAATTTCCCCCAACAAAGAAAGGTAAAAATAGAAGACAGAAAGGTGATCGACAGACAGTGTCATATACGATACTATTATTAAGTCAAAACCAAGAAAATGAATGAACTATAAATTGAAACTAAGATATGATGATGATGATGATGATGATGATGATGCCTTCACAAAGTCTTTGAAGCAAGAAACTTCATTTGATCATATCCTTCAAATTCATAGAGCTCCATGAATTTGTTAAAATACTTACAGAGATATGTGGCATTTCCCGTTTCACCAGTGTTATAACACGTTTGATGAGAAACTTTCCTAAGTTGATCCCTGATAAGCCAGGCTGCAAAATTTCAGAACTAGTCCATCCAGGTAAGTGCAAGAAAATTTTCAATTTCTGGAAAACTACCTCCACTATTTATCATTTCCTTAGGAGAGGAAAAGGTCACTGATGGGATACGTAGAAAAGTAAACAGATTTTATTTTCCAAAACAAGAAAGCAAACAGGTATTTGAAACAAGAATAACTTAAAGAAATCAGAAAACATGAATAAAGGGAAAATTAAATCAGAACAGAAATACATATCAGTGAGATGAAACCCCAAGAAAACAAGGCACACCTCACATTTCACTCAGGATGATCTAACCAACCTTTGCCACAATGTACAGTCTAGTTTCTACTATAATTAATCATTCTTTGTGTTTCTTGTAGCATATGCCATACCTGAGTTGATGAAATGGAGTAGAATAATGCACATGTTGCCTCATTTTCAGGTATAGGAGGACTATCCCACAAAACTTCCTGAGAAGCCAAAAAAAAAAAAATTACATAACATAGAAAGAAGGAAAAAAAAATATACTGACCAAGGTTATGTGAAGTCCAAAGAAAATTAACCTGTATAGTCTGAGCTACATTCTTAAGAAGCGCAACTTCAATGAAAATTAAGGGTTCACCTGAGGAGGGGAAAAACAGCATACTTAAACACGTCAAATAATGTAACGCATATAAAGTTCATGCATATAATTGTAATATGACGACCACTCAAACCCTTAGTCAGTTGGTATTTATATGCAAGAATGGTGACACTAAATTCAATTTCCATGTTATTTCACATGAGAAACAAATAAAAGAACAAGTAAACATGCTGACCATCAGAAACTTTTGGCTGTATAGTAATTACTTTTTGACCAGTGACTAATTTACCTTTAATTCTGTCACCCAGTTCCTGAGTGAATATTAGTTCATTGGCTTTAAAAAAAAAAAAATTATGGCCATGTGTGTAGTAAATCCATTTTAAAAAGGAGCTATGTCATTACATTAATGAAATTTCAACTGCGTAACGGTATGACTAGCACAAATTGCAGAGATGCCAAAGAACATTAAATGGATCGGGTAGTATTGCCAAGAAGAAGTGAGCTATCTTCAGCTGGCCAAAAGTTAAGAGAATCACTGACCAGGAATTGCTGGATGTAAATATCCAAAACAACGACGGCCAACTCCCAGCCTTCTCTTAAGATCCAAAAGGTTGCTAATAGGGTGCACAGCCTACAAATGATGTTGAAGATTATGCATAAGAAGACAGGCAAGAGTTACAAAGAAACCCAAACAGAGAAGTACCTCATAAGCAACAATTTTCTCCAACAGAGAAGCTGGATCATCCCATGTAATTTGATGAAGCTCTAAGGTAGCAGGACTAAGCCACGTACTCAGTTTTTCCTTTAAATAAGAATCCAATGCCCTCAGAGATGAAATATTTTCCTCTCTGTATCATTGAATATGTGAAGTATTATATTCTAACTTCCAGTAAAGAAAAGCTAAAATTTTGTCTCGTGTTTTTCTTGTTTTCTCCCCATGAATCTGCATGCACTCAATTTAATACACCTCAACATTTATTTTAAGGACCTCGCATAAAAATCCCAGTGAAAAGATTCGTAGGACAATCAAGATAAATTCTCTGAAATTGAACCTACCGAAAGTTAAAGGAAGTAATAAGTAACTCAAGATTTCTATATCTTTTGCTACTTTCATTACTAGATATTTGAATCAAACATACATGCAAAACTTCCAATAAGAGTGTGGCTCTATAAAACTTATCATCTATTCTCATGTAATGCTTGGAGAGGCCTGTATGCCCATGTACAATCACCCAAAAAAACTGTTTCAAACGAGAAGTGTCTCAAGATCAACTATATCCAACAGAAATGCACTATGTCCTATTTTTCCCATTTAATTCTTGCCAACCCTGCCAAATAAAATGTTTGAAGTAAAATGCAGCACATGGATCATAACCTTACGTGAGAATGGATAAGATATCAGCACGAAGAATGGACAAAAATCTCAACCCTCCAGGGTGAGTGTTGAGACGGTCAAAGAGAACTTCATAAAGTGGCCTAAGTGCATGTCTCAAATTCCGCTCAATGCGATAGAATGAAGAAAACAAGCCCTCTTCAGAGCAGTTCCCTTGAGCTTCATCCACTGCAACTAGAATATTCCCAATCAGATTTTTGTAAACATTCATAAATTGTAATGCAAATAGTTTGTTAAATTCCACCAAAATCTCACCACAAGGAAGTTGAAGCCCAAGATACTGTTTTATCAGTTCACGAACATGTACTCTGTTCAGATCATATTCTCGGCCAAGCACAAGCAGCAACTTCCGGCGGTTTTCAATGGAAAGCTTAGAATAACCCTACATTGTCATCAGCTCATCAGAGTCAAACAAGCAATATAACAAGCGAATAAAATTACAAATTTTCACTGATTTATATAAATGAAACGCTACCTCTGAGAAATTATCAAGTGCAGTATCTAGATCTTCTGTTTTGCTCATAGAAATCGCAGAATGCATTGACGTACGAACAAGTTCAAATTCTCTGAAAGCAAATGAAAGTAACAAAAAAGAAATCAGCTTCAAAAGCGTAGCATTGAAAATGATCTCTAACCTCTTACGAAAATTCCAAGTGTTTCAAACTATGAACCTCTCACAATTGCCAGCGTCATTAATACGCATTTTACTTCCTGCTTCTGAGTCACGTTGAATAGCATGCCCAGTGGATTGGTTTTCCAGGGAATTCTGCTGCACTTGGTTCATCTCTTTCTGTCGCGCACCAATCAAATACAAGGAAAACGGAATTCAAAAATAATAACATTTGGCTGAAAAACCGAAATCATGAGCCAAATCGATTTGATAAAGATTCTAATATGCTTTGAATCAGAATGAAGTGAAAGAATTGGGCTCTAATCAGAGTAATTATCGGAATTCGGAGAAGCAACTTACAGCGAGAGGAGAAAGAGAAGGGTTGCTGGAATTGTTAGGTCTCATTCTGGCGCGCATGAGAATAGCCAAAGCTTTCTTATTCATATTTATCAGCGAAATCAAATTACCGGTAGAATCGAGCCATCGTTTCCAGCGTTCTTACTTCTTTTAGTTATAGCATCCTATCGACGCAACCACCCTTTCTTTTGCTCCTCATTTTCTTTTGGAAAATGACATTTCATGATTCTATAACAGCATTAATTATATTTAAGCACTCTAAAATTAAAAAAAAAAAAAAAATCTGACAAAACAAACTCAACACACGACCTGAGGTACTCAGATTGGAAGTCTTGAACAGATAGCCTCTTATTTAGCTTAATCAATCCGCTCAACCAATTGATCCTGGTGTTCCTGGTTACTTGCATTTATTCTGAAAAATTCAAAAATCACTTAATCTTGATCGGACTTTTGGCCCAAAGGAAAAAAAAATTTTCTCTGATGGGCCTCTTAAACAGCACTCGAACTAGAGAGCCTTGAATTGGGCCTGGCAAAATGTCAATTTAAAAAGAAACACTAATTTGTTTTCGCCTTTTTGTTTGGGAAAGATTTCTTAGTCCTTCATATAATAGTATTAATTAGCCTCAAACTTTAGTCTTTAAATGGTGTAACCTGAACGCCTGATTTAACTAGTGTAAGAGCTGTATCCTCTTAGTCAAATGTTTCAAATTCAAGTCCTTGGAATATAATGACAATAAATATTTAGTGGAAAAGCTTGTTATCTGAAAGAATTTCATAAATGCTCAGTTCTTGTTAGCCTAGACCTCATTAAGTCTCTTTAGCTCAAGTTAGATAGGCTCATAATACTGGTCATAATATGCAAGAATAAAATAATATATACAAGAGTATCATCTAATTTGAAATATTAACACAGTACAATTAATAAATATAGTGAAACACAGTGCTAAGTTGCTTCGTTTTAATATATCTATCTTCTTGTTCAAGTTTCCCAATTTTAAAATAAATTTCAATGGTGTTTATTTACTAGACCACTAAAATTTAAGATGGCTGCATAGAAAATTCCTCCATCAAGCCATATGTATAAACTTTGTCGGCAAACATGTCAAATTAATGAAGAGAAACTTGGATCATTTTGGTCGTAAGGTAGCTCACTAATTCTCAATAATTGAACTGGTCCTCAAATATGGGATGAACAAAACATTTGACATCATGTGGTTTTGATTTGTCACTTGTCCTTTTCTCGTGACTAGGACTTCAGAGTTACCAACTTCAACTTTTGACAGCATTTGAAATGATTTGTTGCAACCTTGCCTAGATTCCATCATTTTAAAAAATAAATAAATTTGCTCAACAAACAGGCCGCTAATGGAGATGGTCCTTCCTCGTAATAACAATTTGAGTACAGTTTTGAATTGTCATGAGGAATGGTTTGGAATTTTTTTTTTTATTATTTTCATTCAAAAGGCCATAATAGATGTGTCTGTCTATCTTGAGGACCAAAGCATGCTAAATATTTGTGCCATTTCCTTTTTTTTTTTCCTCATTTTATTGTGCCTTTGGCATTATTACGCCAACCTGTAAGACAACTAACCATATTCCCAGGACTTCCAAAAAATTCTTCATCAACATGTTTTAATTCTCATGTTGACCATCAAAAGAGGGAATTGCAAGCTGTAAGAAATTTTCTGTTGTCATATTGCTGGTTTATATGGTAAAGGTCTTAAAGAAGTAGGGTAAAATGGAGATCAAAATATAGTAATATAGTTGTGTGTGTGTGTGTGTGTGTGTGTTTGTGTGTGTGTGTGTGTGTGTTAATAATCATAGGGAAAATGCCCATCTAAAGTGGGGCTGTTATATTTAATCAAACTTTAACTTTGTAGGGTTAAGAGTAGAACCACAAGAAAATGCATGCATGCAGGCTTCATACTTTATTTTAATCAAAATATTAAGATAATAGGTTTATGAGGGAAAAAAATTGCCTCTTCAGCCAACACTACTTAGTGTGAAACTTCTCATTTTCTTACTGCATCATGTAAATAAATCTACCTGTAATTGGTATTCCAATAATTTCCTCAAGTGCGAATTTATCACTGCTCATACAAACATGTTTCCTTTTTCTTTGCTGAAATGAAATGAATCAAAGCATGTTTGTGTCAGGCACTTTGCGAAGATCACTAGAATGCTTCTTCTTCCAAGTTCCCAAACAGCAATGATTCCTAGAAATAGAGATAACTCTGTTCCATCCTCAAATTCCAAAATGTTTGTGATTAAATCAACAAAACAATGTCAGTGAACCATAACAAAGAGATCAATATACTCGACCCATCATTTTTTTCGGTTTCTTCACAAAACTCAGTCGAATCTGCTTGAGACGTCTTCTCTTCCTTGCCATTTTCTCAGGCAGAGTCTCTCGCTTTTTTCTTCTCACTCTTCACCGGCTTTGGCTTTTTCATATACCTTGCCTCTATCTTATATTCTTTCGGTGTCACAGGCAACCCCCTGCGTTGTGCTTCATTGAAGAGTACATTAGCTTTGTCAACACGATTATGAGCACATAATTTCCCCATCAGTAAGTCATAAGTTTTGATCCCAGGTTCACATCCGTCAGCTTTCATCTTCACGAATACATGCAATGCATGATCAATTCTCTCGATGCCACACAAAATCTCCAGGAAATGGTAGTAAGCCTTCTTATCAAGAGCTTCACTAAACCCAGCAGATTTCATCCTGTCAATCATTTCATCCCCCTCTTCTAATCTTGCAGCCTGATACAAACTCTTTGTCAGAATAAGAAACGTGGTCGCATCAGGATAGCAACCCCATTCCCCGATTCTGTAAAACAACTTCATTGCATCTTCAGTTCTCCTAATCTTGCATAAATTAGTTATCAACACATTAAAAGTTTCTACATTTCTTGGAACCCCGTTATAATCCATATCGACCAGTACCTTCTCAGCTTCAGAATCAAGGCAAAATGGATCCTTTTTTCTGCAAAGCTTGCATACACAATCAAGAATGGCATTATACGCAGATGTCCCAAGTTCAAACCCTCCACGATACATTTCCCCAGCTAGTCTTCGAGCTTCGTCCAGTTTCTCATCAACACACCAACCCTTAATTAGCAGATCACAGATGCGTCCATCAGGAAAGAACTCATTTGCCAGATTCTTCACCATTTTCTCTGCATGACTTGCATATCCCTTGTCACAAAGCTTTTCCACGATTAACCTCAATGAATCATGATTACGTGGCAACCCGTAATCTGTCTCCATTCTCTCAAAAAATGAAACTGCCTGGGTGGGACGCCCCGCACGCACAAGCCGATCAATCGCAGCCTCTAAGGTTTTAGGCCCGGCAAAGGCACACCCACTGACAAGAACCTCATGGGTGGCCTTAAAGTCTTTGCGACGGCCAAAGTAGCCAACAAAATAAGACAGTGTCTCATCATTGTGGGTGAAGTTAGGGTTTGAATTAGCCATTGGTTAAAACCTAATACTGTACGGCCGGCTTCAGTGGAGAATTGAGGTTTGAAGAACAAGTGTGGCAGTCGGTGTGATGTGAGAGAAGCCAAGCTGAAGGCGTTGTGTTACAGACAGAGGGTCGGAATCTGAGTCCTTGAGAAGCTCATTGGAGAGGGATTGTGCAATAGGATCTACATCTTCTGGGAGGCCATGAATTGATGATTTGGAGGGCTCTGAGGAGAAAGATCTGGAGAGAAAGAGTGGAGGTGCAGTGAAAACAGTCACAGACTGAAAATGCCTGAGGAGGGAGGAGGGGTTGGAAGTGGGTTCTGCTAGAAGTGGAAGATGAGGTTGAAGCAATAAAATGAAGTGAAGGATGAGGATTGAGAAAAGAAGGATCGAAGAAAGATCCTTCGAAGCTGTAGAGACTGAAATGGTGGCATTGTCAAGGAGGACTCCTACAAATGAAACAACTCATTAACCAGCTACTACAAGTACAATAAGTTAAAATGAATGCATAAATATTAACTAGCAATATTTGACTAATATAACCAGCCGCTGCAAGTATATCAAGCAAAAATGATATATAACTATTAGCTAGCAATATTTGACAAATATAACCAGCCACTACGAGTACAACCATCAATGTAACACAAGTATAACTAGCAATACATTATAAAAATATATAACTACTTGTCAAAAACCATTAAAAAAGGAGGGAATTCAATGTTCTTACGATTATCAGTTACAATGTAACTTTCCATTATATAAGCAACCTCATTGCGGCACAGAAAAGTTCAAAATGGGGGAAAACGATACTTAAGACCCATGTGAGTTAACATCTTTCAAAAAAAAAATCAAATCAAAAACTGTAGCATTTTGCAAAAAACAGGAGAACTCTTCACCTAAACATCTTTGTCAAACAAAAGCAATGCAAATTGTTCTTTATCAAGCCTCTGGATACTATAGGGCACACCATGTAGTGTTCCACGTGCTATTTTTCATCCTCAAAATCACTGCCATTCTTTTTTATCCTATTCTTTTCTATGGGGCTTGAAGCTCTCCATACTCAGAGCAAATATCCAACTGGCTTTAAAAGAAAATTTCTCATAAAGTAAAGCCAAACAGAGTCAAAAATTTGCATTGATTCAGCACGTAGGCAAATGAATACAATTATAACACGCATGGTTAGGACTTTCACAAAACATCTAAAATGTAATAAGTAGAAAGGTTTTGCTCAGTGACAAGTTAACCAGAGAAAAGTAAAAAAAGCTTGAGATATTTGCTCAGTGACTATGAAAGAAAGGTTTTGTGTTTATGGGTAGAGTTAGCTTCATAGACCTCACTGTGCCTCGTTCTTCAAATTGCAGAAGCAGAAATGCACCAGCCGAAACATATCTCTTTCCTAAACGATGAATCAATTATCAGGTCAGAGATGATGAACTTGAAAAATGGGGTGAGGGTGTTCTATTACCTCATCAAAAGAAAATCATTAACTTCAGTAAAATCTCTGTCCTTGGCTGATTTGAACGAATTT